GGTCTCTCTATTAACACCGATTTATCTGCCATCATCCTGAAAGTAAAACAGCGATCTTCTTGTATCCTTTCTCTGACTTTTGTAATGAGTTCATCATTACAAACAGAAATTGGGCGTCCAGTCTAGTTGCATTAGTAATAATTTTCACACCACTTTTGAATTGTGAATTCCACATGAAAATCTGTGCAAGAAATGAACAATTATCCCCGTAAACATGACGCATCAATTCAGCTATATCAGTGGCGCTTTTTCTGAGAGTTTAATGAGAATTTAATGTTAGCTTTTTGCTGCGTACTCATTACGTAACAGTGCACCTTCGACTAGGTCAACAAAATGCCGGCTTGTTTGTTGTATGCTTATCGCGGGGTGATGAAATTGAAAAGTTTCAAGATCATAGACGAAAATTGCCTTTTTGGATTCCATGCTTTGTTTCATAGATGGCATTTTTGTATTGGCCATAATAAAATCAATCTCATTACCTAATTGTTGGACTTTGTATGAATGAACATCTGTATCAGAAATGATTGATGGTAGTACACAAGACAGACAAGTGTGTACAGGCATGATTACCAGTGTCATTTAGCACAAACAATAAATAGACATATTTGGAACCTTGATAGTACTACGCTGTGTTTCTCCTTATGTAATGTACGGCTTAGAGAAGGTGGCACTATATTGGACACATCCTGAGAAGAAACGAGCAGAGAATTACCAGACGCGCATTAAAATGTGAAATAAAGGGTTTTAGAAAACAAGCATGTCCAAAGGAAACCCTAAAATGAATATTGATGAGAGAGACCAAAGATGCTAGGCTGGATTCCATTCATGATATTAAATTGATTGCTCAAGATAGAGCAGAATGGAGGAATAGACTGAGAGCCCTTTAGGACATATAATGGCACAACAGGACGGTGAATATCCGGCTCTGACTCAAAGGTCGGTAAGCGCATTTCACAATCCTTTAGTTCAAGGGTTCGATTTCCAAAGTAGAGTTTTAGAAGTAGTTCATTCTTGTGGTTTTTGGACTGATGTGGGAGTTGCACCATGTAGATTAGACATTTGCCATTGCTTTTTTGAACAGTCACTCGTGAAACTTCTAACCTGCACAGTCAGTGGCGACAGCACTAGCCAGGTGGCCCTAAATCCTCAGGCTCAAAGCACCCTTGTCTACGCCGCCACTAAAAAGTGGTAAAAAAGACAGTAATGACCATGATTCATGATACTGCTGTCAAAATAAGCACAGAGCGGTCTTCTGCCAAATTGTCAGCAACTGGAAGAATGTTTGCAGTGCCAAAGCTAATGTGGAGACAGTGCATTTTTTATTTGTTTGTTTGTTTATTGCATAGGAGGAGACTGTAGCACTTAATGGGGATTTCCTTGTTCATTGAACTAAAAACTAACTAGACATTAGTAGATGTTAGTCTCTGTATTGTTTATTAAATAAATCAGAGCATCAGTATTAACAACCTTCCTGAAATGCAGTAGAGCACTATAGATTTTAACCTCCTTGAAATGAAGTAAAGCATCAAAAACTTTCACCTTCCTTGGATAAAACATCCCTTCAGTAAATTTTAACCTTTCTAAAATGAAGTAGGGAACCCGTTGATTTAGACCTTTCTTGGATCAAATAGGGAACGCATAGATTTTAATTGTCTGAGATAAAGTAGCACAGATAGATTTTAATCGTCATGAGGGTGCAGCAGTCGATTTGATCTGTTTTAACTTTTGATGAAGTAAGTAGTAAATATTAACCTTCCTGGCATAAAGAAGTGCAGTAAAGCAGTGGTTCTCATCCTTCCCAAAGCCGGGACCCTTTAATATAGTTCCTCATGTTGTGGGGACCCCCAACCATACAGTTATTTTTTTGGGTTCTGGGGGTCCATTTGGGGGATTGGGAATAGATCCAATTTTGTATTCGTTTTTGCTTCATCAAAAATGTCCCTAATAATTGTGTGAATTTTGTATGACTTAATTTTTTTATTTTTGTGTTTGGCTGTGTTCCCAACAGTAAGAATGCTATTTTTCTTCCTGAAGTTTTTATTCATATTTGTTTTGTGTGTGTGTATATATCAGTGTTCCCAATACTAACAATGCTATTTTTCTTCATGAAGCTTTTATTCATATTTGTTTTTCTGTAGATATTTTCCTATATATGCTGCAATTAAAAAATTTACCGGACCAAAAGAAGTATAGCTTGTCGGCTTCACATTACCACAATCATAAACATTGCGGCCTTAAAGCCTTCATCAGCATATGATACAAATGCTCAATGATAATACAGTTACAAACAAGAGTAGTACACAGAATTTATTAATGACTTATTTCTTCTCCTGTCTTCAGAAGGAGAAGGTTTCCTGGTCAGCCTTGTCAGTCGCAGTATCTTGGGTAATTACCATTTTCACCAAGAGGTCCACCAAGTGAAGTTTTCCCCTGATGGGAGGTAAGAGGACTTGTTTGTAACAGATCTTGTTTGTCACTGTTTCTGAGACACATCTCGCTTGTACTTACCTTTTTCTGTTGCATAGTAGGACACGTCACATATGATGGCAGAAGTGAAGTAGAAGTCAGCAAGAGAATAGGAAAGGCTAATTGTATCCTTTGATAAGATGCAACAGTTTTTGACAGCTAGAGAGATAAAGAGGTTAGTTGCGTATCCTTTACAGGATGTTGCAGAGCCAACCCCAACAGCCCCTGGCTGTTGTGTGGTTTTTCTAGGCAAATTTATGTTCAGTAGTTTGCCATTGCTTTCTGGGCGGTTGGCTTTCTTGATATTACTGTCAAAACCAACGCAAGGCGCATGGCCCGCAGCTGGGATCAATCCCGGCATTATGAAGCGTTCGCATCGACTTAGCCACAGAGCCGACAGAGAGGTAAAGAACACATTAAAAATTAAAATCATCAAATCTTATGTATTCTCAAGTCTGCTGTATAGTGCAGTAACTTGAATAGTGAACAAGCAACTAGAAAAGTTGAGTCTGGAAATGTGGATATACAAAAGAAGGTCATATTTCTTGGAAAAAAACAGTTAAATACAAAGTTTCTGGAAAGACTGAATAAAACATAATTACTAAATTAAAGTTAGTTGGTTACTTATCCTTTACAGGATGTTGCAGAACCGACCCCAGCATTTTTTGGCTGTCGGGGGTTTTCTAGGCAAATTTACATCCAGTAGTTTGCCATTTGCTTTCTGGACAGTCGGCTTTTTGATACCACTGTCCAAACCAAAGCAAGACCTGAAGCTGAGATCGAGTTCGGCACCCTGGCATTACGAAGCGCGTTCGCAACGCCTACGCCACAGATGCCGACAAATGAAATAAAACATGAGACAATTGAAATATTTTGGCCACCTTAAAAGACATAATATGCTTTTAAAAACCACACCACAGGGAAAGGTCGAGGGCAAGAGAAAATGAGGTAGACATTATCAATAGATGGACGAACAGCAGTCTGAGAGAGTGTATGACCAAGACAAGAGACACGGCGTGTTGGAGATTCACTGCAGCCAACCTTTATTGTTGAGACGGCACCTGATTGACTTTCTATTTGTATGACATGTTTATGTTGATTTATCTGCAGAGTTGTAATCTAAAATTACATATTTCTACAGTTCTCTTAGAGAAGTCAGAAGTTGAAGAATTTCATCTTTGATAATTTAAACATTATCTTTCATGTTATTGATATGTGCAGTCCATAGTGATTGTTGCCATATTATATCCTTTTCTCTGGATTGTTTGTGACTTTCTCTCTCTTTACCTTATACATGTCCTTTGTTTTTACAATTCAGATCAGTATGGTTCTATTCACGTTTCCCGGCCCATCTACATACTTTCTCAGTCTGGTCTGTGTCAGAGGGGTGTCATATTGTCCTGTTTTCTTCGTCAAAAAGTCTTTCTTGGTACCTAGGCTCAGACTGTGGGTAGGGGGGTTTGGGTTAGCAGTTCTAGATGTTCTGGGGTATTTGAAAGCTGTGTTGTCTTATAGAAAATGCATCATTGGTGCTGATGTAATTGGAGGCAAGATAACTTGACACCCCTCTGACGTAGAACAGCTAGGAGAATAAAAGAAAGGTCAGCCAGTGTGTAGATGCACCAGGAAACATTGTTTCACCTCCTTGTGTTCTGGGGCCCATTACTGGGAAGGGTGGGTTAAGGAATAGACCTTTAACAAGCATGCCATTAAATAAAGGCTTTGCTGCAGTTGGATGTTTTGGACACACAAAAATGCAGATATCACGGCCTAACTGTTAACCACAAAAGTACCAACTGTCGCTGAATTGAGTTGTGTTAAGAACTGACATCATTGCACTGGGATCTTCCCATAAACAGTCCATCCCCATCTTCAGCAGCCAGAACAGTTTTAATTCTGATGGTACCAGCAGTAGTCTGGTTGAATATTTGGGTCACTCCCCATCTCCACTGTTGTCTTCCACTGTTGTCTTCCACCGTTGTCTTTCACCATTGTCTTTTACCATTGTCTTCCACCGTTGTCTTTCACCATTGTCTTCCACTGTTGTCTTCCACCGTTGTCTTTTACCGTTGTCTTCCATCGTTGTCTTTTACTGTTGTCTTCCACCGTTGTCTTCACCGTTGTCTTTCACTGTTGTCTTCCACTGTTGTCTTTCACCATTGTCTTTTACCGTTGTCTTTCACCGTTGTCTTTCACCGTTGTCTTTTACTGTTGTCTTCCACTGTTGTCTTTCGCCGTTGTCTTCCACCGTTGTCTTTCACTGTTGTCTTCCACCGTTGTCTTCAGACTCTGATAGTGTATTTGTGCCTTTGCAGTGTTCACTCGCTAACAGTCCTTTTGAGATCGAACACAGAAAAATAAAAAATATGATTGTTAAATTTGAGATTGAACACAGAAAAACAAAAAATATGATTGTTAAATTTGTCTTTTTATTGTTTGTCCAAATATTTTCTGTCATGTTGATCCACTTGGACACAAAAAGGAAATTATTATAAATCAGTTGCGCATTTTTGTTATTGTTTCATTTTTTTCAGTAAGTTTGCAGTTCTTCGAGACACAGTAGTGCAAGTTTTTCATGCACCAGGCAAGACAAGAGAATTTAACCCATTTGTTCTACATAAAACCTTTCCTGGTCATGTCGATGATACTGTGTCGGTTGATTGGTCTTCAGACTCTAGGTTTGTACCTGGCCAGTAGACAATTGTGCATTCAATATTATTATTTTATTGTTTTTCTTTTGAGGGTAGATTGTATTTTTTTTATTATTGATCTTCCTTGTCTTGTTTTCTTTTTCTTCTTCTACCTGTCCTCCTTTTCTTCTTATTCATCTTCTGTCTTCTTGTTTCTTCTTAATTTTGTTGTTTTCTTCTCCTCTACTTTCTTTCTGCTCCTGCTTCTTCTCATCTTTATTATTGAGATCACAGGTGAAATAAATAAAGTAAACTGAGGTGGACACGAAAGCCTACTGCAGTCAATGTCTAACATGCAAAAGAAGCAAGGTACTCATTTTGTGTAGGTAATTGAAATCCCAGGTCTGCTGGCTTCTAAAGACATAGCCCATGATGAATGAGATGTTCAGTATATGGAAGTGAGGTGAAGCAGTCATGAGCAGGACGTGATTATTCTTTGGGTGAACCTAGAACCAGGGTACCATGTATTGGCTGTGCATTTAGGGAAGCCTCATTGGATAAAGGGGAATGCTTATACACATCACAATAGCCTTAACTTTTCCTCACACCTGTGACTGAATTCTCTGCACTACAATCCTTTCTAATGTCGATCTTTTTAATAACAAAACAATGTTATAAAGGCAAATCTACTTGCTTATTCAGATTTCTCAGAATGTGGAAAATCTGTGCATTCACTCTGATATCATCATCATCATCAGGTGCCTTGCCGACTGGCGTGGGCGATCATGCCTCTCCATAATCTGCGATCTCCTGCAGCATGTATCGGTTCGGGTGCCGACACACCTCCATGCCATGCAACAAGACTCAAGCATCTTCTCTCGTTGTCTTCCTCTATCCCTTTTTCCACAGATCTTTCCAGTGGTCACAACATGTTCTATTTTCCCTCTTCTCATAACATGGCCGAAAAATGATGACTGTCTCCTTCTGATGTCTGTGATAAGTTGTCTTCGGGCTCCCGCCTCTTTCAAAATCTCTTGGTTGCTCTTTTTGGCTGTCCAAGGTGTTCTAAGCATTCTTCTATAAAACGACATCTCTGATAACAGAGCTTTAAAGTTGATTATAATTGAGATGTTTATTCCATTGTCTTTATTAGCTGTGTGATTTTTTTTTAAATCATGGAAACATTGAAATTATATAACAGTTCTGTTGTTCTTCAGGATAAATCATGTTTTTATCTGTTTCCAGAGTTTTATGTACTGGATCCAAAGACCGGCGCACACGTGTGATTGCAACACAGAGGCTGAAAAATTTAGATGTCTACGATTTAGGTGGTCTTCGTGATACTGTTGTTGGGGCCTTCTTCAAACACAACTCACTGGATGTATCCTTATTGTATGGACACTTATGCTAGATAGTCTGTGCTGAGTAGATTAAATTCATCTTCGTGTAAAGAATTTAAAAAAAAAATACAATCAGACGCACCACTAATTTATAGGCATGTTGACTAAAAAAAACTAGTTTGCAAACTCAGTCTTTGTCATTTAAAACCATCATAATAGATCGTTTTGGTCCATTAGATTTCCTTTCAAAATGTAATTTAGTTTTCTTTGTTTTTATTCTCTTAATATTTCTTAATCTTTATTTCAGTAAATTGTTATTTATTTACCTGTAGTGGTTATTAAGCCCCAGGGAAGTGTATGCAGAGACCTTAGGGCTCAGCAAACACATGTCGGGAACTGTTGCTGTAAAGAATGTAGAACTAAGTTCTGCTCAAGCGCCAGTTCTTCTTCTTCTTCTTTATCTGCCCTTTATCCCCCAGTGGAAGACAGGTCCTCAACCAACTCACATTTTCCTAACCTTTGCAATAGCATACAGCTCATCCCATGTCCTCTCCATTTTTTTAACTTCACTCTTGAGTCTCCTTCTCTGTTTGATTTTTGGTCTGCACTTTTTCTGTGCCCCTGTGAGGTACCAGATAGTAAGTTTACAATCTGTTAGCATTAAACCTTGACCATATTCCCCAAGCTGTACTGTGTGGCACGAGACGGCTATGTGTTTGTATGGCTGTGTGACACATCACTGGATGCACTGGAGCCATGGGAAGAGCAGAAGAAAGTTGAAGAGGAGGAAAGCGACACCGAAGAAAAGTCCACAAAAAGAGTGCGGAAGAAACAAGAGGAACAGGGTAAGTTATATTGATGTCAGTCAACATGTCTTGTAACATTTGCTTTTGTTGTGTTGAAGTTTAATTTTCTTCTTCAGCATTTCTAGACCCTAAGGTTAATTGCTGCAGATATTATCTGCCTCATTTCATCTCTGTAATAGGGCCGTCTCTGTCCATCTGGTAACCCCAAGTGTTTTAGGTCTACCTGTATATTATCTTTTCCTTCCCTCTGTGAGTTATGGCGCTCCATTGAGGGGAAGACCAGAACAGACTCACTGGGGGCTTCCTTTGAAGTCGGAGCACATCTGCCTGAGGGGCAAGGAACCAACAATCTGCATACACATAAGTCAGATCTATAAAATGAATGTGCCTCCAACACTCAGGTTCTGGAACCAGACTAAAAGCAAAAGGTGATCAAACAGTCAGACTCTTCACAGGGGTTTACAGCTGGTGAATGCAGAGTAGAAGAAGATTATATCTTCACTGTGTCCTTGGTCGGCGTCATGGTTATCTACTCTTCAAGTCTCTTCTCCTTACTTTTTCCCCTCTAGGATTGCAGTCTGTAGGACTAGCATCTCATTAATGAGAATCGGATAGCTACAAATCCAGAAACCCTGTTCAAACATAAAACTGATTTACAATGTGGCATCACAAAATGTTTACAGGAAAAACTGTAGTCTATTGTCAGTAGACTCTTCACTCCCCTGCAATGCACTGTTTGTCTCTGTGTTATCTGCCTTTCTGTCTGTATGTCCCAACTAATGCAGTCTGGTAGCCCTTATGGTGCCAGTAAATGTGGAAAAGCACCATTTGCTTCATATCATGTGTTGTTTTGTTTCATTTGTTTACACAATGTCTAAGAATGGATTAAAAAAACCAAACAAAAAGTATAACAGCAAGCTTTACAATATAACAAAAACGAGCAAAATGTAAACGTTGCAGCTACGGAGTCTTCATCAGCACATACATAAATCAAACAATACTTCACAAATACACAGAATCACTTAGCTTAGTGTCTTGAAGCAGCCAGGTCGATGTCTTGACTACACATGAAAGTGAGTCTTGGATTGTTTTGTCTCCATCAGGGGCTAAGAGAGCGTCCTACCAATGAGATATTGTTTAGGCTCACAAAGAGAAACTGGTATATTACTTCTGAAGGTCAGAATGGTAGTTTGGCCTGTCCACATTTCTAAACCCTTTGTTTGTTTGTTCCTATCCACGGGGTTTACCATAGAATGTTGTCAGGGAAACAAATATATGAAAATGAGACGTCTGAGAAGGGCTGCAGGAGTGACTCGAAGAGATAAAATCAGGAATAAGGTCAGGAGAGAACAAGCTGGCACAGAACCAGTTCTAAATTGCATAATAGACATAAAATCAAATTTTTTTGCATCTTTAGGGAGAATGTGTTGTGATGCCATACCATATTTGGCATACACAAAAAGAGGAGAAGGATGTAGAATACAAGGTAGATCCCCAAAAAAAAAATTGAGGTTGACCTCTGCTATGACATATTGTATGCAAATTGGACATGAAAGGTGGATTTATAAGAACAGAGGATGCCATTGTCGAAGGAATCGGCTAATAGGGGTCTTCCTTTCATGTCGGAGTGCATCGGCCAGTGGCAAGGAACAACCACTGCACACAAATAATCCAGTAAAAGGGATGTACCTGCACAAACTGAGGCCCAGGTCCATATGGATGAACAACCAGGACCTTCTGCCAGAGCTTACAGCTGGTAAACAAAAGAAGACTGTTTAGTTAAAAGGGTACCCAAAGTATTTCAGGAACCTTGCCTGTGCACTGCTGAGCTTCTTCGGACTCAAGACTTGAGTTAGAAGAAGAACGGAGCACTTATGGGTCCAATGATGTTGATCTGTTGTTCAAAACCTCAAAACATATTTTACTGTTGAAAATCTGTAAAATAATGTTATTGTTTTTTTTTTACAGAGGAGAAAACATACACAAGAATTCTCTATAGATCTGGAGGAAAGTAAGTGTCACTCTTGTTGAAAAGAAATAAAAAAAATCAAGCATCGATCTCATTAATTATTATCAATATTTCTCTTATTCTCATCCATAATATTCTATGAAATTTACTGTAACATTCAAGTCTCAACTTTCTTTATTGTTTTAATGACTGAAATTGTGTATGGTTCACTTCATATGTTGCATCAGGATTAGATCAGTTAATCAGGTGCCATCTCCACAATAAAGGTTGGCCTAAGTTCATTAGTGGTTTTTTTTTTTTTGAGGAATAAAGTAAATCATTTGGTTCTTGTACAAGCTGTTTCTTGGCCAATTAATCAGGTGTATTTTAATGGACTTCTTCTTTCAGAAGATTGGCGCCAGGTTTATTCCATATGGCTTTGCCTCCGCAGAATGGTTAGCCATCTGCCAACAGCATTACACAAAGGACTAACTCTAGCTCCGGCGATGATCTCCATAAAAATAGAACCATGAACTGAACGACGCAACTGTGAAATAAACTCACAACCTTCAAAGTGTGAGAAAAGCGCCTTTGTCATGGAGACCCCCTTTGTCGCAGAGATCCCCTTTTAAAAGACATAATTGTTGTAATTCAAATTCTTACTACTGTTAAAGAAGAGAACTATACTATCTGCATATCTTTGTTACAGATATCGCTATTTAAAAGAAAGACTGTACCATCTACATATCTTTGTTACAGATATCGCTATTTAAAAGGAAGACTGTACCATCTACATATCTTTGTTACAGATATCGCTATTTAAAAGGAAGACTGTACCATCTACATATCTTTGTTACAGATATCGCTATTTAAAAGGAAGACTGTACCATCTGCATATCTTTGTTACAGATATCGCTATTTAAAAGGAAGACTGTACCATCTACATATCTTTGTTACAGATATCGCTATTTAAAAGGAAGACTGTACCATCTGCATATCTTTGTTACAGATATTGCTATTTAAAAGAAAGACTGTACCATCCGCATATCTTTGTTACAGATATCACTGTTTAAAAGGAAGACTGTACCATCTACATATCTTTGTTACAGATATCGCTATTTAAAAGGAAGACTGTACCATCCGCATATCTTTGTTACAGATATCACTGTTTAAAAGGAAGACTGTACCATCTGCATATCTTTGTTACAGATATCGCTATTTAAAAGGAAGACTGTACCATCTGCATATCTTTGTTACAGATATCGATATTTAAAAGGAAGACTGTCATCTACATATCTTTGTTACAGATATCACAATTTAAAAGGAAGGCTATGTATCGTCTACATATCTAAGTTCAGGTATCAGTTTTCCACCTAATGTTACGATACCTCAGGCATATGATGCTGCACTCATATTTATAGCCCAGTCGGCACTCGGTAGATGATGTGGTCAGCATCACACCATCCACCTTTGCCTACCATGATGTGATGTGGGTTCAAACCTAAGGCCTCGGGCTGGCAGGCAAGTGTATAGTACTTGACTATCTTTGCTGCCCCCACAAATTATAAGCATTTTCAAATTGTCAGGCTTCATTTGTAAAATTCCTCAAATTCTCTATGTTGTAGTGGCAGAACATTAGTGCAGATGTATATTTTGAAGTATTGGTTCCATATTTCCATTTTGGGCAAAGAAAGAGTAAACACACTGCTTTCAAACAAGCATGTTATAGAAGATGACTAACTACATGCGTTTCCTTTAAAGTTGTAGGACGACTGCTTCAGAGACCAGGAACCTACAATATTCATACAAATAAGCTATCTCTGTAAAACGGATGTGTTCACAAAATACAATATTAAAGATCAGTAGTGGGCAAACAACCCGAACTTTCCACTGGAGTTTACAGTGATACACTAAGAATCCGTTTTAACTTGTTCACACCTGATTTATTTTTAGGTTTAGTTACAGAGATGCACGAAAGGACTCGGGCTTTGCAGAATTGACCTGTGCTGCGTTCCACAAGAAAACACATCTTCTTGTATCTGGGTTTTCTGATGGCACCTTCTTTCTGCACGAGATGCCAGAGTTCAACATGATCCATTCATTGAGGTTAGTTCTCTTGACCCACCCACGACCCACCCACCCACTAGTCTAATGTAAAAAGCATCAACTAACCGAAGAGTTTGGCATGTTGAGTATCTGCACTTTAAATTACAACAGGGCTGAGTAGAGGGAAAGAGGCAGAACAAAGACCTAGATTTGGCCTAAATGGACAGATCTGTAATGTTGAAAATATCAAAATTCATTGCATTGAACTGACAAAGTTGGAGGGAACTGATCAGACACCAACACTTGGTGTTGGACCCAATGACATTCAGTGTTGTTTGTGAGCTGTGGCGATGATGAGTATGTGTAACAGTTGTAAGATCTGTTGATGTTACTTCCAGCCAGTTGAACATAAAAATAACTAAAACTGACAAGTCTCAGATGCCAGCCCAATTACCTAACCTCTAAGTAAAGCCTGGTGAAGTTTGTCTATACTGTCTTCGGGGTCAAGATAGGGAACATTTTACCCAGCTTCTTGTTGGAACAATCACTAGAGGTTCTTTGGAGTGGCTGCTGCATAGGAGGGCTGAGCGCACATGGAAATATCCTGTGTGGAATTAAGTTGTGATAACACACATACTGAGTTATGGGACATTTGTAAGATCATAATTCTAATCAGACTTTATTTAACATAAAAACATCAGCATAGCTGTGTAATGTGATTGTTGTAGGATCAGTATATTGAGATTAGTTCAAGCTTAATCTAATAGAAAACCTCAGCTGACTGTAAAGTGAGTTGTAAGATCCATTAATGGGGTTTAGTTTAAAGTCAAGTTAAAATAAACTTACCATTTCATTGATATTTGTTAAGTAAGTCCAAGCCTAATTCAACCCTACATGGATTGACTTTTTTTATTGACATTTGTAAGTTTCACCTATTTTGAACAATCTTTTTTTTTTCCTTTTGTGTTCACTCTTACTATTCCCTGTGTGGATTCTGGGGCTCTATTATAAGGAAAACAAGAATAGACCCACTGCCTACCCAAATCCTATAAACAGAGGGGGAAACCATTTGAGGCCGTTAAATATTATGAATTAATCAAGTAACAGAAAGTATTGTGAACGGCACTCATAGAAAGAAGTAGAAAGATACAAGAACACACTAGACAACATAAAAATCGAAAGCTATAGTTACCATGCCGGGAATTGAACCTGTCACCTCCAGACGGCGTCTGCGCCTCGCCATGAATACAAGGGCACTAAGATACATGGTCAACTAGGCACCCCCCAAAAAAAGGTGTCTTATTGGCCATGTCTATCGTACAGCTTGAAAATCCACGACTATGGAATGCGGACAGAATTAATTTCAACCCATTGAAATGGCACCATAGGTTACAGAAATTTATGTTAACGAAGCAAATGTCGAATAACAATCACAGCAACAATTTACGAACACAGTAAGACCTCATTGCTTTGTCTAGAATACACAAACATTTAAGAAAGGTATTTGATTGGTAGCTTCCGGTGTGTATACGTCATTCTAGACAAAGCAGTAAGGTCTTACAGTGTTCGTAAATTGTTGCTGTAACAGGACTGCAGTCCAGAAGTGGATGAACAACCAGACCTTTCTTCCGGAGTTTACAGCTGGTGAACGTGAAGAAGAAGAAGAATTCACTCCTAATTTTTTTTTTTACCAGACACTGATTTCAGCAAAAGCCTTTTATAATGGGGGGAAAGGAGGGCAGTGAGACCTCACAATCTGCATGGTAAATTGAAATATCAAAACAGCCTACACAGGTGAGAAAGTAGAACATATGAAGGAGGCAGCGTGAGCCAGTATGAACCCCCATACAAGAGCATAAAGCAATAAACTCATGAAAAGGTTGGACATTTTCCTAGGAAACAGCTCGCTCTGTGTCTCTCTTTTATAGTCTGTTTCGACCATTCTTCTTCTTCTGTGTTCATCAAAAAATGTATTTGCGCTATGCCCATTTACACTTTGGCTGCAATATTTGCACCTTTTAGCTGGCACATCCAACTTCTGCAGGTAGTCGTTGATCAGGTTAGCCTCCCCCATTGTTTTGACCATTCAAAAAAGTTTGGAACTTGTTAGTAAGATCCTGTTTTGTTCCCCTAAAATAGGCTCCCAGAACCCACACAAAGACATTAGAGGTTAAAAGACAGAAGAATGTGAAAGATGCAAATGTGTTACCATGCTTGCAAAAGTGAAGCACAAATTGTATCAACCTCGTTGTTAATTCTAGCATTTCAGAACAAAGTGTTGACTCAGTTGCCATCAACAACACAGGGGATTGGATTGCCCTGGCCTCGGGTAAATTGGGTCAGCTGCTGGTGTGGGAGTGGCAGTCAGAATCCTATGTGCTCAAACAACAAGGTCATTTCAATGACATGACGTGTACCACATACTCTCCTGATGGCCAGAACATTGTCACAGGTGGAGGGGATGGCAAGGTAAAACTTTTATATCCTTATACTTTCGTTCAGTTAATTCTGTCCATGTTTTATAGCTGTATACTTTCCTCCAGTTAGTTCTGTCCATGTTTTATATCCTTATACTTCACTCCAGTTAGTTCTGTCCATGTTTTATATCCGTTCACTTCACTCCAGTTAGTTCTGTCCATGTTTTATATCCGTTCACTTCACTCCAGTTAATTCTGTGTCTTTCATCTGTACATTTAACTGCAGTTAATTCTGTCAATGTTTTTTATCTGTAAACTTCCCTCCAGTTAATTCTGTCAATGTTTTATATCTGTATACTTCCCTTAACCTAATTCTGTCAATGTTTTATATCTGAATACTTCCTTTCACCTAATTCTGTCATTGTTTTTTATCTATACTTCCTTCTAATTAATTATGTCAATGTTTTATATCTGTATACTTTCCTTCACCTAATTCTGTCAATGTTTTTATCTGAATACTTCCCTCCAGTTAATTTTTTTCAATGTCTCATATTTGTATACTTCCCTTTACTTAATTCTGTCAGTGTTTAAATTCCATATACTTCACTCCCATTAATTCTGTCAGTGTCTCATATTTGTTTAGTTTATATTACTAGTCTGATCTGTTTCCAGGTCAAGGTATGGAATTCCATGTCAGGATTTTGTTTCGTGACCTTTAGTGAGCATTCAGGTGAAATCACAGGAGTCAAGGTCACACAGAATGGGAAAAGTGTGCTGTCCAGCTCACTGGATGGAACTGTTCGAGCCTTTGATCTGACCAGGTGAGAATAATGTCACTGCAATTGTTAGTGTTGTTGTGTTTTGTGTTATACAGAGAATTAACTTCAACTCAACAGGGCAGATGTGAAATTCAAATTCTGACTGGCTCCAAATGGGAACGAGTAAAGCAAGGCTGTCTCCTATCACCAATGCTCTTTGGAATAGCAATCGATTGGGACATGCGTAAATGCACAGACAACACAAAAATGGGTATCAAATGGGTTGACAAAATTCTAAAAGACCTTGATTTTGCTGATGACAAAGTGCTTTTGATTTCAACGTACCAGATATCCGGGAGAAAACAAACCATCTTCAAAATGTTTCAGGACAAATTGGTCTCTGAATTAACACTGCAAAAACACACATGATTGATTTTACCAATAGTTAAAGCAACATCAAACTAAACAACCACAATCTTGAAAAGTCAACAGCTTTACATGCCTCAGAAGTACGATGACATCTATAGGTGACTAACTCCAGAAATATCATCTAGAATTGCACTGGCAGCTTGTGCCTTCAACAAGCTGTCAAACAACTAGAGGTCAAAAACACTCATCAATCATACACAACTTAAGATCTTCAACTCTTGTTTGATTCCATTGCTAACTTATGGATGCGAGAGTTGGAAAGCGACTGTAGCTCTAGATAAAACATCAGACAAGTTGAGAGCAAATGTCTTAGAAGATACTCAGTCTCCACTGGACAGATTTCAGATCCAATATGCAAATAAGACAAAAAGACCAAGCAAGATAATGTATCAAGTTTTATAAGAAAGCACTGCTGCAACTACAACATAAGACAAGACACTCAGAATGGATAAGACTTCTCCCCATCAAGCCCTCATATGGACACCGTAAGGGAACAGAAAACAGAGAAGACCAAGAGAGACTGTACATAAAACCATCATCAGAAAAGGCTCATTCATGGGCCTAACAAACATCCAAGACCTAAAGCAGGTGGCAGCGCACCGTCAGACATAAAGAGCTATGACCTCTAACCTGTGCGCCACCCTAGGCCCAAGAGGAAAGACTAACTAACCCCCTTTATTAATTACATTGCTTGCTGATTATCGAAACACACTTTCTCCTCAAAAGCAGTTTTCTTGACTCCAAAGCTTGCTGCCCTTCGACTGACCAGCTGGCCATTTTAAACATCCCCATGTCAACCTGTCGACCACTGACCATGTCAGGGTCCCCAAGCTTCTTATGTAATCTGTCTTCACTACAGCTCAGTCCAGTCCGTCTAGGTTGACTGCCTTCCCATCTTCAAAGTTGAGCCCAGTTGTTGGCTATTCCTTGTTGAAGCACGAAACATCCTGACAATAATGTAATGGACACAGAAAAAATACAGGTGCCTCCATAATAAGTATCTTTTTTATAAACAGACAGAATTGGCTTAGATGCATTTGTAATCAGTGTCTTATGGAAATAATAAGTATCTCTAGACCTCCACGCCTCAGTTACAGAACATGTATGGCTATGCTCAGAGTTCAGTAGCACACATTCAAATTCTTCTTCCTCTTAGCATTCACAGGCTGTAACTCTTGCAGAAAGTTCTGATTGTTCATCCACTTCTGAACTTTGGTGGTTTTGGTCCATAATTTGGGTTTTTCATGCACATCCATTTTACAGATCTAGCTTATTTGTATGCAAACTGTTGGTTCCTTGCCTCTCAAGCAGATGCACTCCCATTTTGAAGAAAACACCCATAATTAGTCACCTCCTACGACGTGCTTGGGGGGGGGGGGCACAGTGGGTCTATTCTTTGTGGAGTAATTCAAATTAAATCATGTTAATTATCTGTCTGTTCACATGTGAAATCCATACTTTGTTACCCCCTACAGATATCGCAACTACAAGACTTTCACGTCGCCAAAACCTGACCAGTTCTCCTGCCTGGCTGTGGACAGCTCTGGGGAGATAGTCTGTGCTGGAGGCACCAATGAGTTCATGATCTATGTGTGGACGATGAAGACGGGTCGACTCTTGCAGGTGATGGATAATTATCTTTCTCTCTGCTATTGTTATGGTTCCATTTGTCCTTCTTTCTAGTTCGTCTATCCAGAAGCACAAGAAAGAGTTATCATTCGTGTGTGTGTGTGTGCTGTGTAATGAGAAGAAAAGAAATGGGAAGAATTTTTTTAATTGCTGGAATGATTTGCAGAAAGAGAGAGTGAAAGACGACACAAAAAGATTCTTGACAACCTTTTGTCATGGGATGAAGGAATATGACCACATGAACTCATAAATAGTGTCAGAGATGGCAGATTGTGGAGATAGAGACCTATAGAGATAACAACTAGGATAGAGCAGGAATGGATTTACTTATGACGTCTAGAGCCATAGGATTGGCTGCTTCTGTTAATCGGCAAGGAAGTTGGTGATAATAAGGAGACTACTTGTGGAGCTATTATAGGGAAGACTACTTATGGTTCTATTTTAGGGGAGACTACTTATTTAGCTAGTATCAGTGTTTAATGATGTATATGTTTGCTTGTGTGCTGATGAAGCATTTGTTGCTATCTACTTTCAGACACTGGCCGGACATGAGGGACCTATCAGTGCCCTGGACTTTAGCCAGGCTGATGCAGTTTTGGCCAGTGGTTCCTGGGATAAGACGGTCAAACTCTGGGGAATCTATGAACAAGCTGGTGCCAGGGAGACCATTGACTTGAACTCAGATGGTAAGGAAGAGTTGGTGATATTTTATTTTGATTCAGGGTTTTTTAGCCATAACTTTTACATTTTCAGTTGTGTTCAAGTTAATTAACAGATTTATAATTATTTTATTTTTAATTGGGATTGGAATTCTCTGTATGCTGCTGAAGATGGGGGCAGAACGCATATGTGAGTATCCCAAGTGCTGTGATGTCAATTCTTAATTCAACATTGAACAACTTTTGTAATTATTTTGTACTTTATGTTTTTCTGCACTTTAGCCCATGTAATATTTTTTGTAATAATTACCCAAATTAGTTTTGTTGTGAACAGATATCCAGCAGTTGAAACTTAGAACCAATCAGCTTCACATTATCACAAGCAACAGATGAACATTGCAGCCAAAAAGCCTTCATCAGCACATTACATATATTAATAGTACCACAAATACAACAACAAAAAATACTCAAAATCACTTAGCTAACATATTTCCGATAGAAATCACATTGCCGTATAGTATTTCAAGTTAATTTTAGAATGGTCCAAGCAAAAGAAACATTTAGCAAGATGAATGAATACATTATGCCATTTGTTTTAATCAGTTGAGATGAGAGAGTTCATAATAGCAATATGGAGCCAATTCTCACATATAGGAGTTAATAATCATGAACACTTACTTCTACTTAGTCGCTCCTCTTCTACTTTGGGGTGTAGAAGTTTGTGAGTGAGATCGCCAGACTTCTCTATCAGCAGTTTTATTTTTGGCTTTGTTTTATTCCAGTTTTCTTTCAGGGAGTGCTGCATGTTGTCTTCTCAGCCTGGGTCGTCCTCGTGGTCTGGTTCTCGGCCTCTCATACCTGCCTTTGTGGCCAGTTCTCTTCCATTCTGCAAACATGTCCAAACCATTGTAACTGTGACTGATCCATTCAAGTTTGTAACACCTGGGTTTCAAGGTCATGGCATATTGTCTGACTGCAAATGGGAAAGAACTTTGTCTCTTATTATCAGTTGGCCACTTTTCTCATATACATCATTTCTGAGGCCTGAAGCTGGCTTCTATGAGCTGGTATCATTGTCTATGATTTGCACCTTTATGTCAGGACTGGGACATAGGTAGAGCGGTATACAGCCATTTTTTTCCCCTTGCAGATAAGTAAACAGTTATGTGAAAGTTTCAAAGATTGATTTTATGTTTGAATGGTGAGAACACCATGGCCAAAAAAAAAGGTAATAAATATGTCTTGATAAAATGGAAAAATCCACATTCCTAGGCTCGTATAAAGCAAAATTGCTTAAATTAAGAAAATTGTGTTGTTATAACAGAGGCATGGAATACAACGAGAGAAAGTTGAACAGTTTCGTGCCCTGAAACTGAAAACAATTTTTTTTATCAGAAATTGTGCTCATACGTAGGTTTTGGAGCCTTATTTTGGTGGAAAAGACCTACAGTTGCCTAATAAGCATGCCGTAATACGCACCTAATTTGCTTAAATCGTATGTGTTTGGCCGAAGGGCACAGATATCAAAACCTAGCTGTACGCCACAACACAGCAGTCCCACCATATTTCTAAAGGCAAGCACAGAAGAAGAAACATTTATGTCAATACCCAACAAAACACTATGAACATATCTGATTATTAATGTGCATGGGATAGGCTATGAGTGGAAAGACTCAGATTTGTAATAACTGTTGGACATACAGAAATGTGCAGTATATTTTGTTATACTTCTGACTATCTAAAAGTTATCTAACTTTCCAACAGTTTTAGCTTTGACCTTCAGACCGATGGGAAAGAACTTGCAGTTGCCACTTTGAACGCCCACATCACATTTTGGGATACAAAGACAGCTCAGCAGAAGGGAACCATTGAAGGCAGACCTGACCTGGGATATGCCAGAAAGGAAACTGAAAAAATTGCTGGCAAGACATCCGCAGAAGGGAAGTGAGTGAATTGCATCTATTTGTGCATAGATATGTGTTAACATAATTAGGGGAGGAGAATTTAACCCACTTGTCCCAAGACACCACAAACCTGGCATTTCTGTCCGAAACAAATCACAGAGAAGCCACTTAACCAACATTGCTGCATTTGGCCAGTTTCTATCAAACTTACTTAATGGCATTGGTTCTGTTTGCACCTATGCAGTGTTTAGGAGGTCTGGATATGATTATGTTTACTAAAAATAGCATTGTAGGGGGAGGGAGGATGTCTTTGTGGGGGAAATGTTTCTTTTTTTTTTAAAGCCATAATGACATCATCATTCCGTCTTAGTCTTTAGCAATTGAGGTCACAGTATGAGTCATCCTAGAACTATTTTTTTTTTACCTAAGGGACTTCAGTTGTTTAATTCTCCTCTCTCCTCCATTACTCCACTTAATCTATTTGTTTAAAAAATGTGAGTTCAAAAAAAAAAAGTGAACACTGAACCAATTCTAAATGTCATGCAAAGACAGCAAATTAGTTTGCCAGCTTAGAGAGAATGCCTTGTGATGTCATACCCTACAAGACATATTCTAAAAGAGGAGAAGGACATGGAGTAGACCAAAAACCTCCTGGAAAGATAACATTAGAGAAACTCTACAACAGCACAATGTGTTTATGGTCAAAGTAACCAAAAGAGCTAGAAGCAGAACCTTAAATCTACCTCGAAAACCTAAGTAGTGCAAGTGGAAGTGAAAAAGAACTCTAATGTTGTCATTACAGAAAATCTGAGATTTTATCTCCGTTTGTTCATAAATCTCTAGAGATTTAGCAACTGTTTGTTTACATATTCCTAGAAAATCTGACATTTCACAGCTGCATGTTCACACACCTAAATAAATCTGAGGTTGCACAGCTGTTTATTCACACATTTCCTGAAATTTTTTTTTTTTTTAAATCTGAGTGTATTGTTCACATATTTGGTTCACACATCTCCGTGTTCTTCTTTCCTCATTTCTAGTAATAAGTACCTATTGTGTTTGTTCAAAATCTCTGTGTCCATCTCCTATCCACTTGTAGTAATAAATACCTCTTGCGTTTGTTCAAACCCTCTGTGTTCATCTCCTCTCCACTTGTAGTAATAAATACCTCTTGCGTTTGTTCAAACCCTCTGTGATCCTGTGTGTTCATCTCCTCTCCACTTGTAGTAATAAATACCTCTTGCGTTTGTTCAAACCCTCTGTGATCCTGTATTTTTTAGAGCCTTTGAGACCATGTGCTACAGTGCAGACGGAGAGTGTATCCTGGCTGCTGGCAGGTCCAAACATGTCTGCATATACTCTGTGGCAGATCAGCTTCTTGTGAAAAAGTTTGTGATTTCTTGCAATCATTCACTGGATGGAATGGAGGTAACTGTCTTTACTTGTACCCTGGTGGTGGTAGTAGTGGTAGTCGTTTTAGTCAGAATGGTGTTAGAGTAAATTATGGCTGTAGTAGAAGTGGTACTTTTAATAGGAGGTGAAGTTAGTGGTAGTAGTAATAAGAATGATGTTATTGGTAATAAGAGTGGTATTAGCAGAAGTTTAGGAGTATTGTTAAAAGAAGTAGTAGCAAAAATGGTGTTACGTTAGTAGTAGTAGTAGTAGTAAAACAACCAGGAGTGGTGTTAGTGGTAGTATTAAAACAACCAGGAGTGGTGTTAGTAGAAGTATTAGAACAACCAATTAGTATTAGAACAACCAGGTAGTATTAGAACAACCAGGAGTGGTGTTAGTAGAAGCATTTAAACAGCTAGGTAGTATTAGAACAACCAGGAGTGGTGTTAGTAGTAGTAGGAGTGTTGTTATTCCTAGCTGTTCTTGTTGTTGTGGTGGTAGTAGTAGTAAGAGTGACATTTGTGTTAGTGGGAGTAATGTTAACAGTAAAAGCAGTAATGTTGGCAGTAATAGAAGCAGGAGTGGTATTTGTTAGTAGCAGGAATAGTGTTAGTAATAGGAGTGGTCTTAGTCATTGTAGTAGTGGTAGTAGCAGTAAGCATGGCATTAGTAGTAAGTAGTAGGAATAGTGGTGTTAGTAGTATAGATAGTCTTAGTAGTAATGGTTGTGGTGATAGTAGCAGTAGGTGCAGCATTAGTAGTAGATGTACCTTTGTGTTAGTAGGAGTTGTGTTAACAGTAATAGGGGTAGTGTTGCTAGTAATACAAGCCAGAGTGGTAGTAGGAATTTTCTTATAGTTTTAGTAGTAGAAGAATAAACAGGGCATTAGTAAGAGTGGTGACTGTACCAGTTAAAGTGTTGTTAGTAGTAGTATTAAAAGTCATCTAAGAAGTTAGAGTTGTTTTGTAGGAATTTCTGGACAAACGAAAGATGACAGAGTGGGGCAGTCTGGCCCTTGTTGACTCCGGCCAGGGAGATGACCACCAAGCTATAGCCCTTCCTGGCGTGAAAAGAGGAGACCATAGTTCCCGATTCTGGAAGCCGGAGGTTCGAGTCTATTCCCTGCAGTTTTCACCAACAGGTAGGACTGGCAAGAAAGAGACATGTTGAGAAAGTTTCAGTTTAGCCAGTTTCCTCAAGATTTCCCATTATTTAAAAATACAGTCAGAATTGTGTGTTACTAGTGCCAAACCTGGACATAAACAATAAGAGAAGAAAAAATACAAATCGAAACAGCTGTGTATGGAACATTGTATATCGTTATGTGTTTAGGATGCCATATATGAAACACTAGTATATCATTATATGTTTAGCAGGCCGTATTTGAGACACTAGTGTATTGTTATACTTTTATCCATGTTGCCTGCAGAAGATTAAAAATAGTCACTTCTGGTTTTGACACAGCCCCATAAATGCCGCTATATTAGCCTGACTCCAGTGACCTATTCTCGAAAAACATAGTTTAATATTTGTTTTTAAAAGAATTTTAGTTTTTAAAGAACTTTTTTTTTAAGAATGGGGGGGGGGGGGGGGGGGGGGGGGGGGGGGGGGGGGGGATTCCCACACGTTCATGACCCCCTTATTTTTCAAACATGTGTGGGGTGAAAGAGTTGAGTTAATTAAAAGTAAAGGACCCTTTCCCCCATCCATAGGTATATTTGTTACTGAGGGCTAGACCTGTTCGCACTGATGATCACCACCACACCAGCTGCAGTTACCTCCCATGGCTTTATCTGGTGCCAGTTTCAGGTTGTCTTGACCTGAGAACAAAGGTCATTTGTGCATTGAAAATCTGCCTTGTTATATTTTAGGAGAGAATATATGAGACTACTACATGGTTGTCATATTTTAGGAGACAATATATGAGACACTACTACATGATTGTTATATTTTAGGAGAGAATATATGAGACACTACTACATGGTTGTTATATTTTAGGAGACAATATATGAGACACTACTACATGGTTGTTATATTTTAGGAGACAATATATGAGACACTACTACATGATTGTCATATTTTAGGAGAGAATATATGAGACACTACTACATGGTTGTTATATTTTAGGAGACAATATATGAGACACTGCTACATGATTGTCATATTTTAGGAGAGAATATATGAGACACTACTACATGGTTGTTATATTTTAGGAGACAATATATGAGACACTACTACATGATTGTTATATTTTAGGAGAGAATATATGAGACTACTACATGGTTGTCATATTTTAGGAGACAATATATGAGACACTACTACATGACTGTCATATTTTAGGAGACAATATATGAGACACTACTACATGGTTGTTATATTTTAGGAGACAATATATGAGACACTGCCACATGATTGTCATATTTTAGGAGACAATATATGAGACTACTACATGATTGTCATATTTTAGGAGACAGTATATGAGACACTACTACATGACTGTCATATTTTAGGAGACAATATATGAGACACTGCTACATGGTTGTTATATTTTAGGAGACAATATATGAGACACTATTACATAATTGTCATATTTTAGGAGAGAATATATTAGACACTATTACATAATTGTCATATTTTAGGAGAGAATATATTAGACACTATTACATAATTGTCATATTTTAGGAGAGAATATATTAGACACTGCTACATGGTTTTTTTTTTTAAAGGTATATATATATATATGAAATACTAGTATTTATATTTTAAGGAAACCATATATGAGGCACTATGAATATCTACATTTTTGGCAGATATCTCCGAAACACTATTATATGGTTTTACAGGTTATGGAAGACACATATTTGACACTAGAATATCTATTTTTAGGGAACTACATATGACTAGTACATAGATGTTTTATAAGTTTAGAAGACCATATATTTATCATTTTCATCAGTTCTCGTTGTGCCTAGTGGCACATGAGGCTTCAGAGAGGACTTTCCATGCTTTCCTGTCCTGTGCAATCTTCAGTGCAGTTTTCCATGTCAAAGATGCCACACTCAGGTCACTTTCCATCGTTCTTCTCCATGTTGTTTTTGGGCGCCCCTGTTTTCTCTTTCCCTCTGGTGTCCATGTGGGAGCTGTTTTGGCAGGTATATCATGATTCATTCTCATAACGTGGCCAAGCCATTTCCATCTTCTCTTGGTTATCATACTGTCTAAAGTTACTTGGTTTGTGACTTGAAGTAGTTAAGTGTTTGAGGTTGTAACCATATATTTGGCACTAGAATATTTATACTTTAAGGAACTATATATGAAACACTAGTATACGGTTGTTTTATAAGTTTAGCAAACCATTCATATGACACTAAAATATCTATATTTTTAAGGAAATATACATGCTAAACTAGTATATGGTTGTTTTATAAGTTTAGGAAAAATTATGTCAGACAACAGTGTATCCTATGTTTAGTAAACCGTATATGAGGCACTAGTTATATTTATTTTTAGGAAACTGTATTTTGGATACTAGTATATTATATTTTAAAAAAAATTATATGTGAAACACAAGTATAAGGTTGTTAAATCTTTAGGGAGATCCTGGGTAGCCTGCACAACCGAGGGCCTACTTGTGTACTCACTCGACCAGACTCTTGTGTTCGATCCCTTTGAGCTGGAGATAGACATCACGCCCGACAGTATACGGGCCACTCTTCAAAAAGGCGACTTCTCTGCTGCCCTAATGCTCAGCTTCCGTCTGAACGAACAGAATCTGATCCAGGAGGTGTTGGAGTCTATTCCGGTGGACAGTGGTGAGTTGAAATACTGCTGTCATCAAGTTTGTTTACATGTATTCTCCACTCAGCTGCTGTTTTCAGTTGAAAAGTTAGAGAGGATATGAGGTGAGCTGCATGCAACAGCAAAGGATATGACAGCTTGACCTGAGTTAGTTGAATGTCTGTGTTCTATTGGGGGTAAAGGGTAGATGAGTCAAAGAACTGTTGTCTTTAAGTCGTTATAATTGTGCCATTTATTCTCCCCACACAGCTACTTATTATCAAGTCATTAATTTGTTTCCATTTTATACCCCACACAGCTGTTACCATCAGGTTACTAATGTTATATATATTATTGCATTTATATTTATTATTACCCACACAGTTGCTTTCATCATTATTATGCCCCTCCTCCTTCCTTTTCAGCATTCCGAGCCTTTGAAGTCAATTGCTGCAGACTTTGATTTTAACAAATTTTGCAGGGCATAGTATACTTTTTTCCAGATTGTATTCTAGATTTATTTCTTCTATTAGTAAACTGGAGCAGTCATGAATACGCTTCTGTTTGTTCTCCACACAACTGCTGTCTACAAGATATTTTGTCCCCATTTATTCCCACACAGCCACTGTAATCAAGTCATAATTTGGTTTTTGTCTATTCCTAACACAGCAACTGTCATCATTGAGACGCTACCCGACACCTACGTTGACAAACTACTGGCATTTACAGGTCACATGATTGAGAGCTCCGCCCACATTGAGTTTTATCTCCTCTGGCTCCTCCCACTTTTGAGCATGCATGGGCCTAAACTCAAGCAGCGGTCGCAGCAGATCACAGCTTCCCTCAGAACCATCCAGAGGAATGTTACCAGGAAATATGAAGACCTTCGGAAAATGTGAGTGCCATATTCTGTAATGTGTCTATCAGTCATAATAAGTAAGGCTAACCCTGTGTGTATAGCTTGGGTATGTGTATATGACTTTGACTATGTGTGTATAGCTTGGGTATGTGTATATGACTTTGACTATGTGTGTATAGCTTGGGTATGTGTATATGACTTTGACTATGTGTGTATAGCTTGGGTATGTGTATATGACTTTGACTATGTGTGTATAGCTTGGGTATGTGTATATGACTTTGACTATGCGTGTATAGCTTGGGTATGTGTATATGACTTTGACTATGTGTGCATAACTTTGCTCTCTCGAAAGAAGCAGCTAAAAAAATGGGACTAGTTATTAATCATGACAAAGCAGAGTACGTGATAATAACAAGACAGGAAAAGTGTATGACTTTAGTGTGTATATGGCTTTGACATTGTGTATATTACTTTGACAATGTACATGTGACTTTTATGTGTGTATAACAGAGTCTATTTTGTATGTGACTTTGAGTATATGATTGGTATGTGTATGTGACTCTGATGTGTGTGTATGGTTTTGATTATGTCTGTATAGCTGACTTTGACTATGTGTATGTGTGTTTCATATTTAATGAAATAATTTGTGTCTTTGCTTTCAGCGCTGACCACAACAAATACACCAGCCAGTTCCTCATTTCTCTGTCCAAGTTGAAAAGGAAAAAGAGGCCAGAGACCCAGATTTCCAGTGCTGAGACAGACAGTGAACATGATGAGGGCAGCGAGGAAGAAGAAGAGGAACTGCCATGGCACAAAGCCAGTTCTGAAGATAGCATGGACATGACATAGGATCAGTAGTTTATTTGAATAAATGGATGAGTTTTTTTTTGTTGTTGGCTTGTATGGTCTTATCTTGTCTAGATGAGTCTCAGAAGCTAACCTGATTACATGACCTGAAAGTAAAGCCTTTCTTTGCCATTTTCAAGATCAAGACAGGAGACATTTATTATAATCATCTTCTTATGGGATCAATCAGTAGAGGTGGCTGCCGCATCAAAGGACTAAAGCATGATTATTGTTGTTAAGTGAGGACTGTCCTAAGTCACATAACATCGTAAGTTGTGGATGCGTACAGTGAATATAAACCACAGATACAGTAAAAGTAAAAACCACAGATTTCTATTAATGTTTGAAGCATGGTTTTAATAATCAGCAGATAAAACAGGAAATTAAATGGCAGGAAAATTAGCCGAGACCCATAAACACCAAAAAAATGATGAAAACAAGGATTACTGCAGTCAAGCTCGTAGAATTGAATTTGCTGAACATACACTATGACTAGAAAGAAAGCTTTTCGTCAAAGTCAGCGTGCATCTGCATGAGAGGCAAGTAACCAACAGTCTGTGTATACACACATCAGATTTGTAAAATGGAAGTGCACGAAAAACTAAATTTCTGGAATAATACCATAGTCCAGAAGTTGACGAACAAGAAAAAAACTTTCCGTCACAGTGTACAGCCAGCGAACATTAAGAGAAGCCATGTAGCTAAACTAAACAATAATTCCCATCTACACTTCAGCAATACTGTCAATGATTTGTTCAGACGACAAAAATGACATGCGGCAGTCAACAACGTATAATGTTCAAAGATAGCTGCCTTATGGGGACAGTGTCAGGGGCTGGCAAAAATCACATATGGGAATTACAGGATAAACAATTTTCATTACGGAATCGGGAGACAATGAAATCAGGTGTCTTTCTCCAAATATGTATCAGCTGTTATCAACTACAGAGGCCTACAAATACGGTTTCATCCTGTTAACTGCAACTATCGTCATCCAGATAATTTTTAATGAAGTCAACCGCAACCACTGACACCTAAATATAAACTTTTCAGCAAATTAAGTATTGTTACATTATAGATATCAACTTTTCACCAAGTTAACAAAGCCGAATTTGCTTTCCTATTGATAAAATACAACAACTAGAATTACCAATGTCTTCGTTCCAGCAAATTAACTGCAAACAGTGGTTAATTATTACCTGAACTGTTAGCATGAAATTAACTATCTACTTCGAATATCAGCATAATAGGAACCTTCTACAAGAAACAACTGCTTAAAATGAATCTTTTACTTTTGAGAACTGTCATGAATAGGCTTTAAATATCTAAGAAAAAACTGACCATCTACAGCTAAGATGATCTAAACTGACCATCCACTTCCAAGTTAGTCAAAACATGAATAATCCACAACTAAATTAGACTTAAACAAACCATCTATATCAACTATCAGTCTAACACCATACCTACTCCCATCCGTAACACAGGACACTATAAAATAAAAATACCTGACCAGACTGCAAGTTAAACAGGGTGTGGCCAGACAAGAGCACTACGCGCAGGAAGCCAAAGAAGAATAAGAAACACAGAACTGGTGTGTCATCAACTGCTACACACTGTGGGATATGAGCACTTATGGACTGAATGGATCGATGTGCTGCGAGGGTAATCTGTCAACTAACTAACATACAATATACATCGGGCACGACTGTCACTGAGAGGTTGTACTGTGTAGGTAACACTCAATGGAAAAGATCAAAGCTGTTATCCTGGTCTCTAACCTCCACAGCCTTGTGGTAATGGAAAGCTCTTCAGGAGTAAGACCAGATGGAAAAATCCAGATCTGGAATCCCTAAGGCAGTTCAACAGGATAACACTGCTGCTCCAGTAATACCCAAAACGTCTTCTGTGCCAAGCTGTATTGGTACTTGCCCTTCCCTTAGCATTACAGTTGATGTAGAGATGGAGTAACTTGCTGCCTCCAGTTCAGCATGCCCGACTGTGCCATGGATACACAGGATTCTAGCAGATGGTGTTCCCAAAACCAGTGGCACAACTCCATGGTGCCCAGGGACTGCTGGTTGCCTACTAGGACATCCATGCTGAGAGTAGAACGCTATCTAAAGAGCTGCCTGTTGGTCTGTAGTTGGCTCCCTGACACATCCTCTGTGCAGATTATTCCCAGTTAAAAAGCACGGCACAAGGGTAAAACATTTACCTGATATCATTAAGAGAGATGTACAAGGGTTGACTAATCAGTTCACAGAGTCATCAGTTGTTGCTGTCAGCTCAGCTGGTTACTGATCTCTAAAGTCCCTGTGTCAGTTCCAAGACCCATTTTCTGGGGGGAAAAAAGACCCACAGCCCCTCTAGTTAAGTAAAGGACCCCTTTCCCACACCTTCGGACTAGACTATATTTTTTAGACCAACAGGCCCTGCTGGATGATGTAGTAAGCATCATGCCGGCGGCTTTTACTTCCCAGGACTGTACCTGGTAAAAAATGACCCATTGGAGGTTTGATGAGATCGAATGTGTTGGCCTGGAAACATATCAAGACCTAGCTGTAAACCAAAACATTTCATGCCAACCACACTTTCAACCTCTTTGCTCGCACATTAAGAAAAAATTCACTATTATTTATTGTTGTTACGAAATGCAGACACAGAATACGAGTACATTCCAGCATTTTAAATTAATTAATAGTCGTTGCTGTTGTGTTTATTATTATATGCTAAAAGATGAATACATAAAGTATGGAATGATGTATGAAAAGAGTGAGGCCAGTGGCAGAATATCAGACTGGCCTGTATGTTCAAATGTCCGTTCATTCAGTCAACATCGTATCAGCGATGTACACCATAACAGAGAGCTGGGGAAGGAGGGTACATAAACAGGAAGGATGGCAAACAGCCAAGTTTCAGGCAGGCAATAAAGAAAGTGATGTTTACCTGCTACATGATGATTAATACAGTCACCTAACTCAGCCAAGCATCAAAATTTAAGAAAAAAATTAAAGGAAAAGATTACATATCCTGTCCCCACAAAGAAAAACTTCAGGTCTTCTCAGACTGTTAAGACACTAAATATTACCGAAAAGACTTTATCTTGTAATGGCATATACACATAAATTTTCGACAATGTTTGAACACAGCAATCTAAGCTTAGCAAATCAACAATATAAATAAAGAACATCAGATTACATATCCCTCATTCCCACCCCAAAAAAAAAAAAATGAAAGCAATAAAAACACAGACATTAGCACATTTTTTTTTGACAATTTTCACCCAGACATTGTCACTCTTTTATTTCTGCCCAAGATCTCTCAGTGCAGCAAAGGCCCTCAACCAAAACATGCTAGTTAGTCCTTTATTTTGCCATTTTAGGCAATTCACCGCCGTGAACTTTTGTTTTTCATATCACTCTCCAATTCCATTATCTGCATGTTTTTCTCATCTGCCTTTATTTCTCTGACCATGTAAGTTCCAGTACAAGCAGACTCTAGTAAGTGCAAGGAGATTTTGTTATAATGTGCGTCCAACACCAGCGCTTTTCGCCCCACCTCTTAACCCACTTGAACTTCCCTCCCCTCTCATCTCTCCCAAAGCTTTACATGAGTGGTTCTAGTATACCATTGAATTCTCTCTATTCTGTGCAGGCACAAGTTAATGAATGTTTGCAGTTTACTGGAAATGACTTTGATCATTATCCATGTATTCCTGCTGATTTGCCATTTACTTTCTTGAAATCACAATTTTATTTCTATGCTTATCTCTTCCAGCACAAGCATCTCATGTTTTTCTTTTTTTTTCTTTCTAATTCATGGCACAAGTTTCTTAATTTCTTCTGTTACTTTAATTTACTCCATCACAGTTGACAATTTAACCCCTTCTGTCCCACAGTTGTAACCATCCTTTCAGATTAAGTATATTACTGTTAAGGCAAAACACAAATTCTGACCTTCAATCACAAACTGCTAAATATCTGACATAAATTATGTCCTCTTGTCATAAACAATTAAATATATGCCACATAGTCTGGGCTTTTCATCACAAACTCCTAAATATCTGACATACATTTTGACCTTCTATTGCAAATTCTTAAATATCATCCACAAATCCTGCGCTTTCATCACAAACTCTTAAATATCAACGACAAATTCTGTTCTCTAATCACAAACTCTTAAGTATCTTAATCAGTGAAGTGGTCAGCCCATTTAGCACTCCACATCTTTATTTCTTTTAACCTTTCCCAGCACTCATTTGAGGCTGACTTGACTTAGGAGCCCAGGCCAGATTGTTTAAAATATACCTGCATCAAAGAGTCAAACCCTAGACCATTCAGCTAGCAGGCAAGCAGGTTGCCACTCAGCCTCCCTGATGTTATAACTTGCACAAATATTGTTTACAGTTTCATTTATGAATTTAAGAGAAATAAAGAAATAACAGAAATATCTGAGCAACCATTAGTACACACAGTCATAAGACAGAAAAAGATGGCGCTACATCGAATACATGCTGAGAAGTGATGACAGAGAATTCATAGACATGAACTGAAAATAGAATAGAGGGATCAAAAAAGCAAGAACATCCAAGAGAAACTCTAAGGGGAACACTGACGACAGATACCAAAGGTGCTGGACTGGACTCCATCCATGATACTGAAGTGATTGCAGAGAATGGAGAATTGAACTGCGAGCCCTATGTGACATGCAATGACACAACAGGATAATTAACACACACACAAAAAACAGTTTTTTATCTAGTGGACATTTCCACAAGTTAACTCAAATATTTATCTTCACGCTCTTTTCACGTCTGTTTGATTATTGTTCTGGTTACACATGTTACAACACACTTCAAATGAACTGTTGTTATTTACAATGGAGATGAGATCTGCACATAATCACACACTGCTAGGCCAGCAGCGACAAACAGAACACAGTGTAACAATACAAGTCTTCACCGCAGCAACTTGTTATTTAGGAGCTGGTTCCATACAGTCCAGAGAGAGCATTTCCCCCTTCCTACTTGAACAGGAAGCTAGAATAGTCAGGAGTTAGTGTATTAGTTCACAGTAGTAGTGGGACAACAACAGAACATGACAGGACACTTATCACAGTGAGAATGGGACAACAGCAGAACATGACAGGACACTTATCACAGTGAGAATGGGACAACAGCAGAACATGACAGGACACTTATCACAGTGAGAATGGGACAACAAAAGAACATTTTTACAGCAGAACATGACAGGACACTTCATGAGAATGGGGACAACAGCAGAACATGACAGGACAATGGGACAACAGCAGAACATGACAGGACACTTATCACAGTGAGAATGGGACAACAGCAGAACATGACAGGACACTTATCACAGTGAGAATGGGACAACAAAAGAACATTTTTACAGTGAGAGTGGGACAAGAGTGGAACATGACAGGGCACTATCACAGTGAGAGTGGGACAACAACAGAACATTTTTACAGTGAGAGTGGGACAAGAGTGGAACATGACAGGGCACTATCACAGTGAGAGTGGGACAACAACAAAACATGACTGATCACTACCACGAAGTTGAATAACATAATATTAATAAAACAGCACAACAGAGAGTGCGCTGCAACAGTACAGGATGTAATATTATCAAAATAACAGTATCTGATGGAATACCATTATGTACCGTGATCGAAACCCACAATTTAAGTTGCCGCAAGTGCGCAATAGACACGTGACCGAGGCCCTGTTAGGGTATATTTACTGCCTTGATAATTTGGGACCATTATTCGGAAGATAGCCATGGATCCTTTACTGTGTGCTGTGCCATATACATGTATGGACCCTTTACTGTGTGCTGTGCCATTTATATGTATGGACCCTTTACTGTGTGCTGTGCCATTTATATGTATGGATCCTTTACTGTGTGCTGTGCCATTTATATGTATGGACCCTTTACTGTGTGCTGTGCCATATATATGTATGGACCCTTTACTGTATGCTGTGCCATTTATATGTATGGACCCTTTACTGTGTGCTGTGCCATATATATGTATGGATCCTTTACTGTGTGCTGTGCCATATATATGTATGGACGCTTTACTGTGTGCCATATATATGTATGGACCCTTTACTGTGTGCTGTGCCATTTACATGTATGGACCCTTTACTGTGTGCTGTGCCATATATATGTATGGACCCTTTACTGTGTGCTGTGCCATATACATGTATGGACCCTTTACTGTGTGCTGTGCCATTTATATGTATGGACCCTTTACTGTGTGCTGTGCCATATATATGTATGGACCCTTTACTGTGTGCTGTGCCATTTATATGTATGGACCCGTTACTGTGTGCTGTGCCATATACATGTATGGACCCTTTACTATGTGCTGTGCAAAGCAGGCTGGTTCTCAGTCTATATCTCAGAAAAGCTACCCACATAAACAAACAATACTTGAAATTCAACACACAATTGGATCCTTGCTAGTGCATTGAGGGTTTGTGCACTGTCCTGAGAATCTCCTTGTGTATTCTACAGGAGACTGGAACACTGACAACAGAGATATTTTGGTGAAAGTTTTCTTCAACAAACCCATGACAAGTCAGCCTCCAGCCTTTGCTACCACATGTAGATCACCCCATGTCCAGCTCGCCTTTTTCACCTCAATCTCTAATTCCCACCTCTATGAGATTGTTGATCTGCCTTTATTCCCTTGTGGGTTCCAGTGCTATGATATATTAGTTTTAGTGTTATACTATCTTTGTTTGGTCTGCCTTTATTCCACTGACTCAGTTCTAGTATACTGACATTCTAATTATACTGTTTTATTTCAATGACTCTGTTAGTTCTAGTATACTGACATTCTTATTATACTATTAACATGTTTTTTTTAATGTGTGTCCTATCCAATACGAGCATCTTTACCTCACCTTCTGATTCACAATAAGTTTAGTTTTATTTCAAAGCTCTAAATTACTGTCTTTGTTTTATAGAGTTAAAAAAACCAACACACAAATGTATGCAGACAACAAACTGGCATTTAGTGTGACATACCTGTATGGGTAGCCCTGGTACTTGGATCTGAAGATGGACAGCAGCAGGCTAAAGAAGATGGTCACACATCCAAGGCCCACAAGGGATAAAACTGAAACAAAAATGACAGTCACGCAACAAGTGTCTCAACAATAGCCTTCTTCATTCTGCTCTGTAGACCCCCACTTGAGCCTAAGCCCTCAACTAACTTATGGCAAACTGTCCTATCTCTTCTTATCACATGCAGCTTACCATCTGCCCTTCCCCATCTTCTAAACTTCATTCTCTGGTTCCCTTCTCCACGTTTTTTGGTCCACCTTTATTCCTTTGACGATGTGGGTTGCAGTGTTAAAACATTATTCTAATACTATTCTGAGCATGTGCCCTATCTGATGCCAGCATATTTTCCTCCCCTGTTGATTTATTGTAATTTGTTTAATTGACTCCCAATGCACAAAGTGAGTTATTCTACATTCCAGCTAACTCCCACTATTGTGTGCAGGCTCTGTTTAATTAATGTTTATAGTTTATTAATAACTATTTTAGCTATCCATGTTACAGCTTAAAACAACAGTAGTGATTTCACATTTCAAAAAAAATTTTTAATTTTAGTTTCAAATTCCTTTGACTTCCAAAAATATATTCAAGTGCTATGGTAAATCTCCTTGAATTTTGTATTCATGTTCTAATTTCCCCATTAGTTCCCCCACCGTTAGCTACAACACAGTCAGATACAGCAGTAACAGAGCCAGAGGTCGACCACACAGAAGATGGACCACAGAAATATCAGAGACACTAAAAAGTACTATACATGAAGCTAACAGAAAAGCCAGTTCCAGGAGTAGAGGGAAGAAAAAGAAGAAGTGTAATAAACTGTAATGTAACAACTGGTACACATAGTTGCATAAAAATAACAAGAAACAGAAACAAGAGGACATATTATACAACATTAAAAACTGCCAGCTGCAGTAGTTACAACACCGGTAGATCGGTGGCCTCCAAATGAGGATGGCACCTGGCTGCAAAAACAGTCACACGTTCCTGCTAAAATTACCTACCTTTTTTCTTTCCTGGATCGGTCTTTATACTTTCTGCCTCATTCAGCAGTATGAACCCCACCACGATGGCAGTATCTGTTTCTGGTTAAGAATATCTGTTATCATATATCAAACAGAAGTGGCTACAGTGCCAGGCTCTCATTTGGAGACCCAGGTTTAAATCTTTAGTAAGGTGAGGGTAACATTTTCCCCACTAGGGATAAGTCTTCTTCTACGCATTCACCGGCTGTAAACTCTGGCGGAAATTTCTGGTTGTTTGTTTACCTTTGGACTTTAGTCTTGGGTGCTTTATTAATATCCTACCCTGGATGATGTCACAGGACAGTCAAACATTTTAGAGGGCAGTAAGACTGGGTTTCCCGGCTTTCTGATGCTTTTAAAGACCCCAAAAGAACTAAATACAAAAACGGAGTAAAGAATTAACCTCCCCACCCTCCCCGACCATGAAACAAGTGGTTTTGTTGACTTATTAACATGAATGAAAATGGCATCACAATTTAAAAAAATGCAATTTAAAAAAAAAACCAAAATAACATTTCAAAATTTTGTGTGTAAATATAATCACCCCCCCCCCAAACTCTGGTTGTTTTTTACCCAGACAGTAAAGACATACCACCAACCATTTTCCAACTCAAGACTGAAAAAATATATTAATTTTGTAATAGTTCTTTCTCCGCATGTAGGTTCTAGGACTCCCCCTTTGCCCAAGGATCTCCAAAACACCAGTAATTGTGAAATAAAGGATGGAGTTAACCGCAGTATTTTTGTGTGTGGCTGACTTGAAATGTACTAGAGAATTTTTACTTTCATTAGTTTGCCATTGTTTTTTGAACCGTCAGCTCTCGACACCATTGTCAAAACAACGTGAAGCGGTGTGCTGCCAAATCGCCCAGAGCTGGAATCGAACCAGGTCTCACAGAACTATAAAGCACAGTCACAAGGCCTAAGCCACAGCTGCCGTCAAATCTTACAGTAGAGGATCTAAAGTAACAACTAGAGCAGACCATATTAGCATAACAACTGACTGCAGACAATAGGGATTAAATCTGACTGTGCAAAAAAAAAAATGTAACCCTTATGGCATCTTCCTGTCTCGAGGAGTTGACATTAAAAGGAAACATCATAGAAAAAAAAAACTGTCAAACTAATAATTCATATAGAAGTGGTTATGAGAGCCAAAGTGGCGTAGTAGCTAGATGTCCACCTCAGGCTCCATGATCATGGGTACAAATCTGCATAAAACCAGAACCCTTAAAAAATGACATTGACTCCCAGGCTGATCCAGCCTTAAATGGGCACCAGGTAAAGTCCTAGAAGGTAAAGGCGGCCACGCGATGTTAACCAGCTGATTAGTCTATAAAATATAGGAGTAGCCCTATATTCAAAATATTCCTAGAGGCACGGGGAAGGGTCCTTAAAAACAAGGGGTTAATATAAGCACATCTGTGAAAGAAGACAAGGACATTATACAGTCAAACCTCATTCATAAGAAGAACACCCAGTTAATACAAACAGTATTTTGTGTCCAAGCATTAATGTAAATATTATTAGTCCCCGGTCAGCACAAACTTTGTTAACATGAACTCCTGACATTACAGCCACTGGGAATTCTTGTTAACAACGTTTTACATTCAAAATTCAGAACAATCAAGATACATACAGCGAGTTGTCGAGTTGAGTCAAGAATTGACATCACAGCACTTAGGGCATTCTCATGCATGCATGCTCTGTCCTCATCTTCAGCAGCCAGCACAGAGTTCCAATACCGATGGTACCGGTCACAATCTGGTTATATGTTCGTCTTGCCTTTTTTCTGAGTGTACTGAGCCGGCCAGACCCTCTGATTATACCCAGGTGCCTCATTCTCTGCAGGCCATAATCTTGTTTCTCTACTGATTCCGTTGCTTGTTCCCAAAGGGCCTTGACCACATCTGCCTTGTCATATACAGTGAGTTATTTGGTACTCAAAATGTTAACAAAAGGGAAACACCTATCCCAGGACATTTTACAACAAATTCCCATCTTCCTTTTAATCTTCTTATCTCTCACCTAATTCACACCACATGAAAGAGAATTTGACTGTAACAAAAGGATACTCAGCAACATGACGATGTAGGTCTCCATGATAAACTGTCCCTGGCTGCTTCCATGGATATAGTGCTGTGGGGCAAAAGCATCACCAGGCTCAGTATCAAAGCAACATTTCATCTATCCAGAGCATAGTGTTCATGTCTAGATATGCTATACATGCAGGCTACATATAAATTGTACATCTAGAGGATGATGCTTGTGTGTACAGATAAGCTATGAATATATCCTAGATATAAATTCAATATCTATGGGATAATGCTCATGTGTATAGATATGTTTAAAATGTACATCTGAACTTCTGTATTGTTTCCATGAAATACCACCTACTTTTCTGTATAGCCAGTCGCTGTTTGTAATGATCTGAATCTGAATTTAGACTCGTGTCACAGTAAGCCTTATGCGCTCAGTCTGCACACATAGTTCTAAGATCACTCACTTCTCCTCGTGTTCTATAAGATTACTGTTACACCCGTGATTATGTTTTCTGGCCTTCCTCCCCTTTAGGCCCCACCTTCTAGTATGCCAATGGTGTTCTATCGATATTTTTCTCACTACGGTAAAACTGCTTTTAGTCTGTGAAATCAAGATCATTACACAGACAAAGAGTGGTTGAAATGTCTGTATTTCTTTTCACAGAGCTTCCTAGCTCATTTAGTTTGTGACTTCAGTCATTTTAAACTCTGAAACACATGATGCCAAAACATGCCCTATATGTCTAACCTTTTAAGCAGTGTTCACTACCTTTGAGCGCAGAGCAAGAATGAAAGCTCAGGATCTGTCACATGACAATACTCACCATCTCACCAGTGGTAGGATTCCTGTGCATCACCGGGGGACCTCGAATGTGGTTCCACATCTGACCTGAGGTCATGGCAAATATCACAGCCTGAAATTTACAAACTGGCATAAACAAAACACACCTGACATGAACACACACACATACAAAATCTCTAACACAAACAAACAACCGCTGATATGAAGAAAAAAAAAAACCTTCTGACCTAACAAAAAAACTGTGACATGAATACAAAACTACTCAAATGAATAAATATGTGTGGACATGAACAAAGGTATGCTGACATGAAAAATGTATGGGCTGACATAAAAATAAGTATGTGTTGACACGAATAAAGGTATGCTGACATGAAAAAAAAAGTATGCTGACATGAACAAGGGTATGCTGACATGAACAAAAGTATACAGACATGAACAAAGGTATGCTGACATGAACAAAGGTATGCTGACATTAACAAGGTTTTCTTTAAAGTCAAAGTGCATCTGCCTGAGAGGCAAGGAACCAGCAGTCTGCACACAAAAAGTCAGATCTGTAAAACGAATGTACACATAAAACTCAAGTTCTGGAAGAAGGCCAAAGTTCAGAAGTGGACGAATAACCAGAACTTTCTGCCAGAGTTTACAGACAGTGAATGTGAAAAAGAAGAATGTTCAAAGCTGCTGTGACAGTACAGATTTAACAACATCAAAAATGACATTTCTTCTTCTGTTCATTCATCTGAGTGAGGTAACTGAATTGTGCATGTTTACAGCAGAGCTGTGATATTTGTGTCTTTCAATCGACACATCTGACTTCATCAAGCAATTGCTGACCGGGGTTAACTTTCAGAGAGTTTTGGGGACATTATGCAGTGTTATCTGTGTGATGTTCTCTTTAAAATGACATTTGATTAACAACAAACAAGTACATTAAAATCTCACTAACTCGAACTTACTTAAGAAGAACACTCTGTTACGATAAACACAATTTTTAACCCAACAGGGATGTATTATTATTAGACCCGGTTAAGACACATTCAATTTTTAACATGAACTCTTGATTTTTGGGTCCCTTGGAACTCATGTTATCGAGGCTTTGCTGCAGTATAATCTAAAGGTAACAGCTTACCAAGGCAAGAATGCTCCATGATGTTTTATTGTAGAGAAATTCCAGATTGTTGCGTTTGAAATACAGCAACCCTCCAATCATTGCAAAAAGCAGAGCCAAAGCAACAGTTCCTGAATAGTTCGGGGGTCGGAAAATACGAATCTAAAAAGAAAAAACATAATATATTTATAATTAAGTAATTAAGTATTTGACATTTAGAAGTGTGTACCGTCTCTACAATGGTTGCTGTGATATGTACATCCACTGCTGTTTGTATCCAGCATCTTGTCTTGCAAACTAAAATACTTAAGTTGTATCTTGATTCGCATTAATAATCTCTAAAAGTAATCTAATCTTTCGCTCCACAAATGCTAACAAAAAATGGAGCCCTGAACCATGGAAATATCCAAAAAAATCCAATAAAAATAAAAACAATTATTTTACACAGGTTACAGACAACATAAACTGTTAGAATAATTTACCGAAATTTTTTGGGGGAAAACTGTTGGTTATTACTATATAAAGGGAGTACTCAATTAACAAGAACCGAGTGAAGCACTAGCTGGAATGAATTCCCTAGCGCCTAAAACAAATATATATCCCTTGGAGAGGTCCCAGAAACCCCTTTCAGACTGTAAGCCATATCTATGCCCTGGCTATATTTAGGGCCCCCTGCAGAAGCCAAGGTGGGGCTTCAAACCAAAAAATTACATCCCACATAGAGACGACTTATGTAGGTCACCGATGAAATGGTGATACATGGGACATTTACTGGGCTGTGTCACAATTATAAGTAATTAAATCTAGCACCCTCAGGGCGGCAGGGTTAAAACTTGAAATTACTAGTTTATTTTGCTAGCCTGATTGTTTTTTTTAAAACTGTTTTTTTTTTTTTTGGTAATGGACTTGAGTTCTCTTCTTCACTTCCTCATCAAGGTGTCAAAGGAGATCTGGCCGCTTCGACCAGACATATCATGCTGTTGTAGGGTTTCTCTGATGTTATCGTTCCATCTTGTTCTTGCTCTACCTTGTGCTCTACATCCTTCTCTTTTGGTCTAAGCTTTGTTTTATATGGTATCGCAATCCCTTCTCCGTAAGTGGGCAAACTTTTTGATGTGCTGTCTGTGTATGTAAATTAAAACTGGTTCTGTGCTGACTTTTTTGCTTTTATGACCTCATTAGCTATTTTTATTTCTTTGGTCTTTTGTCAATAAAATACCCAAATCCCATCAAGCAAACATTATCTCACCCTAGCCCTAATCAAAGTCAGCCTCTTGTGTGTTGTGTTGTTGATCTTGCTACATCCTGATATGCTTCTCCTCATATTAAAAGTTCCAGCTTCTAACATACACATCCCACCGAGAGAGAGAGGTGAAGAAGAGCTTTGCAAGACCCTGTAGAAATTTATTCTGGTCCACGGTCAGTGACCAACCTCATTTCAATAGATGTAAGCCCTTCCTAGGCCAAAGCGTCTTTAGTGTCAATGAATTTGTAAGTGGTAAAATCAATCATCTTCAAATGGTTTCAAAACCAATCTGGTCAATACTGCAGATAGGCAGGCTTACTGTTTTCTAGTCATTGCCAGTTGTTGCTTTTAATAATAGTTAGCCATTGAATATTCAACCATATGTAGAAAGAAGGGACATAGTTTCGCTACCCAGCTACTGAGCTGATCACATGGTGCGACACTGTGCGCTGCAGACTTGATTTGGAATGCTTTTTAACTGTGCCCAATGTGTCTGTGTTGTGAACTGCAGATTCAGAAAATGGTAAGTGGCCTGTTGACAGAGAACTGGTCGTGCTTTAAGTGAGTAATTGCAAATGCAACTACTAATCTTTGTAACCAATGCTTCCATCAACAATGAACAACATTTCTATTGCTGGACTGTTTGTGTTAGCACTTCTGATGGCTGCCTTATGCAGTAAATGCCAGTGTATGCTATTTCCTTTGCCAAGACCGCAGGCTGTGTCAGTTTTTGTCTCAATGGACAGTAATAGACAATTTGTGTGGTTTTCATTGACACAGAAACAGAGCAACTATGGGGTGATGTCTGCTATAAAGTTGCAATGATCTGATTACAATAACAAACACTTATAAAGGTACCTGAATATCTGTTCTTTCTCCGATCCATTTAGTAAGTTGTTCAGCTGCAAATCCAACCCTGTAAGAAAAAAACCAATATACAAATGATTTCCACTAGAAAGAATTGTCAGTGATAACAAGGCAGCTAGTTCCATAAAACAGACACACAGAGGATTTCCACTAGAAAGAATTGTCAGTGATAATATTTCAGCTAGGTCTATCATACAGCAAATAAAAGATGAGGTGAAAGACACAGGAAAGTCTACATCAGAGACAGCCATAGAGGTATGCAGTCAGGCCAGGTCATACACCAAGCAAGAACATAATACTGTTCCCCAGAGCCAGCTTAACAGTATTATGGGCCTCTGGGAAAACCAGTGTGCTGAGACCCCTATGACAACCACTCACTCACAGGAATGACATTTTTATCTATGGCAAGTCACTGGACATACAAAGATTAGCATGGGGCCAAGGCCCAGGGGAGCCAAGAGTAATGATGGGACTGACTGCCACACAGAGGCCACAACCTGAAGGTCTGACACTGAGTGACTCAAGGAGCAACCCGCAGCTGAGAAACCTCAGGTTTGGAGACGGACACAAATATCTCTCTGTCATGTTGTTTCCTGTTTTGTTTCAGACTGTTAGCATAATTAATATATGTGTGTGTCTGTGTGTGTGTGTATGTATACACACACACACACACACAGAGAAGTGAAAAGTGCCCCCCCCCCCCCCCTAAAAAAAAAATCATACAGCCGATGAAAATTGCAAAATGCAGGCTGAAAGACAAAGCCACTGCCTGGACAAATTGATTAAGGATAGCAAGCAGTGACTAATTATGGACCAACAGAACCCACTGTCCGGACAAATTGATTAAGGATAGCAAGCAGTGACTAACTATGGACCAACAGAACCCACTGTCCGGACAAATTGATTAAGGATAGCAAGCAGTGACTAACTATGGACCAACAGAACCCACTGCCCGGACAAATTGATTAAGGATAGCAAGCAGTGACTAACTATGGACCAACAGAACCCACTGCCCAGACAAATTGATTAAGGATAGCAAGCAGTGACTAACTATGGACCAACAGAACCCACTGCCCGGACAAATTGATTAAGGATAGCAAGCAGTGACTAACTATGGACCAACAGAACCCACTGTCCGGACAAATTGATTAAGGATAGCAAGCAGTGACTAACTATGGACCAACAGAACCCACTGCCCGGACAAATTGATTAAGGATAGCAAGCAGTGACTAACTATGGACCAACAGAACCCACTGCCCAGACTAATTGATTAAGGATAGCAAGCAGTGACTAACTATGGACCAACAGAACCCACTGCCCGGACAAATTGATTAAGGATAGCAAGCAGTGACTAACTATGGACCAACAGAACCCACTGCCCAGACAAATTGATTAAGGATAGCAAGCAGTGACTAACTATGGACCAACAGAACCCACTGCCCGGACAAATTGATTAAGGATAGCAAGCAGTGACTAACTATGGACCAACAGAACCCACTGCCCGGACAAATTGATTAAGGATAGCAAGCAGTGACTAACTATGGACCAACAGAACCCACTGTCATGGACAGAATCTGTCCACAGAAAGTAAACTGTGCAATTGTTGAAAGGACCCTTTTTATACCTTCAGGTATATTGGGCATATAGGGCTAGACCTATATTTTATAGACCAACCAGCATTCGATGAGTAATGTGGTCGACATCACACTGACCGCCTTTAATTTCCATGACTATACTCGCTACTTTTGTAAGGCTGGGAGCCAAGGTCATTCTGAAAAAAAGTCCAGCTCCGCTCGGACCTCTGGATCCACAGATGTGTGTCTTGCCGCAACATCAGGGGGGATCCCCATGTATTGAAATCAGATGAGACACACAGCTAAATATAATGATCGCCCACCCCAAATAAGGAAGCCCTCTTTGCCAGCCATTCATCTCCATCTCTATGAGAGAACAAATATATGTGTGTGTGGGTGCGCACCACACATGCCACCATCTGCCTGGAAGAAACCCAGTCTCTCACCAGCTCTCCCTTCCTGGGCACTTTCCTAGCTAAGGTGTCACCTGATACCATGCCTTGTGCTATCACTCTGTCCACTCCACCTGTGCCGCTTGATATGGCCAAAATATTTCAGTTTCTAAGACAAGATGCTGTAAACACATACATTCATACAAACAGCAGAAAGGCAATACCTGTGTATATCTAGTGTGTCCCCCTTCTTTTGCTTGCCCTTTGCAGGGAAGTGCATGAACACAGGAGCTGTGTTCAACTTCATCTGGAGGACAACACACATGTGATGACATAAACATCAGGCTATAAAGAGCACTTTTATGCAATATTAATAATTTACTGAGCTAACCTCAGCTGTGAAATTACTTGTTTTTTGAAAGTTTTTAGGAAATAAAAGATTTTTCTCACTTAGCAACACTACTTCCACAAGGAGATAACTGTATTATATACGGTTATAATTGTAATTATGTCCCATGCACTGTCCGGCAGGTTACAGGATTGTGGAATTTCATGTTTCCCAATCATGACTGATTCACTGATCCTTATAAGATACCAGGAACTTCCATATATGGGTGTAAACATGAGCTGGCTTATTAGCATAAGCTACGGGCGATTTCAGCTGGCTGAAACCGATCACTTTGGTTTTCCGAATCTCAAAGATGACCGATGTGATTGAATATTTACATAGAGAGCGCGAGACGGCCGTGAATGAAAAATGCCACATTCCATGAAATTTAAATTCCACATAGCCGATCAAAGTAGGAAATCCCGAAGTCTACAACTGGCAAATGCACGTAAGAAAAGAAAGGGCTACCAGAGCATCGTTAACATTACAGAAAATTCGGAATGCGACGCATCCAATTTGCTTGTTCCTAGCATCACTGAAATTTTGGCAGTCAATTCTGTACCCTCCTGTTCTAATTCTTCTCAAAGTAAGTTGTGAAAGTGCATCTGTTCTTGCAGAAAAAACCCTGTAGCCAGTTTAAGAGAGATATGTATGAATATATGACCTCCTCTAGCAGTATGTATGTTTCTGATGATGATAGTGGACATTCAAAAAAAAACTAGAGAAGTATTTCTTTTCCAACATTGATTGATATCATCAATATGTTGTGTTGTCTACTCTGTAAAAATACTGGTCTCATTTTGAAATCTGACAGCAAGAAAACTCAAGGATTAGCTATGCATGCAGAAGTTTACTGCACTTGTAACCTAGCTTCAAGAAGTAATGATGTGAATAGATCGTTTGCCATCAACAACCTGTCTGTTTATTCTGCATTAGTTTGTAGTAGTTTTTACCGCCGTTTTCTCCGTTTTTTGGCTTCGGTATATTTTTCTCAAAAACTGCTTGTCTATGATGAAACTTCATACACTTATTTAACACTGTATTACTTATGCAAATACAAGAGTGTTCGTGAAACTAAGATTTAGTTTTTGTGCAGCTGTCAGAAAGCCACAAAAATTGTCTAAAAATATATGCAAAATTTTGAAAATTAGGCATACAATTTAGTTTCATCAGGTTAGCATCGCCTTAAGGGAGAATTTGAATTAACTTGGCTTTTAAAAAAGCCATTAGGATCATAAGGAAACCTGCATAACATTGTTTTAAGTTACACAATTTATACTCTGGCCAGTTAAATACTGCGTAGGCACAGAAAGAACCATTGAAATTTAATTTTACTTTTTGAGTACGGGTATCTACAGACAGGCCCATATTTAACCATTTACAGGACTGTATCACAACTGGGAAGTACCTAATTTAGTCTTCTCGTGGCGAGAGAGTTAATCCCCTACGAAGTTAGGTCCTCACCAGCTCGCACCAAGTCAGCTTATCCATTGACATTATCTGCAGCTCTCCCCCCCCATCCCCATTTTATGTTTTACATCATGTCATGGTTGTTTGGTTTAGTGGTTGTAGTTTAAAGGGGTGAGGTATCCAACCAAAGGTGCCAGACCCCATCGCCCTCTTTTTCCAATAGTGTGTATTAATAAAGAAACATTCTTAAGAGGGCTAAGGACATCCCCCACCCCTTCCGCCTTAAAGAAAATGTGCAAGCAGGCTAACTGGTCCCTCTAGCCATTCATAGACATCCCCCTTTTTAAGTATGTTTACACATTTCATACATTCAGCACATAATTATTATTGCTTAAGTGCCCCCCCCCCCCCACCTTTGATGTCAGGGAGCAGTATCACAGGTGAACAATTCATGTGTACCTATATTTAAGCTTTTTTTTAATTTACCATAGTAATACTGAATGAGACCCTTGATTCTCAGGGTCAAGACTTTACTACCTACACCACCTGAAAAAGTGGTAGATACAGACAGTTATGGCAGTTAAAAAAAACCACATTAACTATAGTAAACATATCCAGTTTACACTTTGAAAGACATCAGAACCCTCGTCGTAGTCAACCATGGCAAAGAAAAGCTTGTTTGAGTATTGCTGCGAGTATCTCCAGGAGTTTGCAACTATTTGGAATTCATCATTTGCCTGCCTGGAAAATTAAAACAAAGAAACATATACACTGCTGGATAACTTGATCAGCTCCTTAGATATATTTCTGTGTTATTTCATAACAACTTTAAACAAAAATAACTTTTGTGGGCTGATGATTGATTTAAAAATCAAATGATACCAATAGGTGCTCTGTCACCTGCAACTTATGTCTTAAGGTGTACATGACAACTGTCGTCCTAGCACACGTCATTCTCTTCCTCTCATATGTCCTTCCTTGCTGGATCCACTCCTATTCCCACGTTCACATATCCTCACATATTATTTCATTAAACATGTCTTCTAGCAGCATTCGCTAAGAATTTTTTTACGGCTAATCACGTACACAATATAAAACAGAAAAGCTGACAATATGGCCCCATTTATCATGAAAACAGAAAACAAATGGCTACTAAGGAACATAAACATTTGTAGAATCTGCTATGTCACATGAGGATCATTTTGTTCAATCATGTACAGGCAGCTGCATTCAAGAAATATACATATATATTTTTTTTTTTAATTCTCTTCCTCCAGAATTGGTGCCTGAAAGACATACCCAGTGACTTCAAACAGTCACACTAATTTTTCTCCAGTTGCAAATCCCAGAAACCTTGTTCAAATGTATACACCAGATACTGAGGGACCTTCTGGTACAGAATAAACCTGTTGTCCTTTTGGTTCGATTATGCTTTTATCAGGAAAAAGATGAAGACTCAGAAACATTAAGAAAAGACCATTGTGAAGGAATATAATCATGATTGCTATATATGAGGGAGGTATACAGTTACATAATCAACAGTCTGCAGTGTAACAAGTGATGAAAATATAAATACTGTAGGGGCAAATGAATTAAAAAAAGAAAAAAAAGACTCAGGAAAATAAAGAAAAAAAAACGGTTGTGTAGGAATTTGGTCACTTGCGCAATATGGCCAGAAACTGGCAGACATGGGCATATCTTTAAGGGCACAAGATGTTTCAATAAGCCTTATCCATGAGTTTAAAGCAGATCAAGCTCCTGAGACCAGAGAACCTTCAGATCTGTCCAGTATTGGGATGATAGTCTCCACTAATCACCTGTACCCGCTAGAAAAATATCCAATAATTGATTATTAAATACTGTAAAAACAGTTTACAGAAGATAGATGGTCATGAAGGAAAAATATACTATGCCATCTGGCATGATACATGATGTTTGTTCAATACTGAAAGAGCAGCTGTTTTTAAGAGTGACAAAAAGTCACAGGAGAACATACTTGCAGACTGAACAGCCTCTCTGAGGCTGCAGGGCAGTCAACATCACCACCATGGAGTAGTTCTTTGGTGGTGTCTTCACATAAAGTTTGAACTTATCTCCGGTCAAACGGATGACAGATTTCTTGCTGTTCCATTCCATCAGCTGGTGGACTTTGCTGTCTAAACTCTCCTGAAACAAATGATTTTTTAAAATCCACATTTAATGCTTGTATTCACATTTTTTTAGGGTGGAAAGTGTTCTCGAACCCAAGGATTTGAGGCTGCATGCCTAGTGCAGGCAGCCTGTGCAGGTTAGGATTTTACTTCTGCCCTCAACAGAACACATTCCATTATCTTATCAAGGATTTTTCCTGTGTGGATTCTGGAGGAAAACAAGAATAGGCCCACTTCCTACTCAACAAACATGTCGCAGAAGTTGGCTGCCGGAGCGGCAAGGAACAACCAACTGCACACAACTAAGCCAGTAAAACAGATGTACATGCAAAACTCAGGCCCTGGCACAAAGCCAAAGTTAAAATGAATGAACAACCAGAATTTTCCGCCAGGGCTTTACAGATGGTGAAAAAAATAAGAAAGAAAAGGAAGATCACAGATTTGAACCCGGGGCTTCCAAATGAATGCCTATGATTCTCAACTGCTCGGCCGCTCCTCAAAACAAATGACACAGAAGATAAACTGAGGCTTGCTGTTAGACTTGTTGCTCTTCATTTATGGTGAACAGATCGATCAAATGAGCTTAGGTATGCTGGTAACATGGGCAACAAAATAGTTTCAGCCATCTGATTCTACCTCTGTATCAATGAACTGTCCAACCATATGGATTGGGAAGGGGGAGAGGGAGGGGGGGGGGGTGGCAAGATGTTTGTCTCATGCTCTGAAGGTTGTGGGTTCATTTCACAGTTGTCTCATAAGGTTCATGAAACGAACAAACAAACTTTATTTTTAAAGGGTTACAAATTGGGCATGCAGTTCATGAAACGAACAAACAAACTTTATTTTCAAAGGGTTACAAATTGGGCACGCAGGCCCGTCTGACATTCGCCCCTTCTGGAGACGGACCAAGCCACATGGGATAAAACCCTGTGCAATGAAGTCAATCCTCTAGAACTAAGACAAAAGTCCACAAGTGGACGAACAACCAGAACTTTCCACCACAGTTTACAGCCAGTGATAGCTAAAAAGTAGATATTATGTGTGTATGTGTATATATATAAATTTATATACACACACACATACGTGTGTGTATATATATATATATATATATATATATATATATAATATATATATATAATATATATATATACTTATATATAATTAAGGGCTTTAGTTTAAGGCAAAATAGCTGTGGAGATACATCTCACTCACTCATCCAGCATAACTAGACAATCTGGTGCCTGCTGCACAATGAAGGTTAGTAGCAATGGATCTCCAACACCCCTGCTCTGGTTCTGCAGACTTCCATTACTGTCAATCCCACTTAATCTCACCATTTACCCAACTCGAGGGTGGGGGGGGGGGGAGGAAGGAAAGCTACTTTATAAGACAGATATGGAGAAGTCTCTTGGGATCAAGTAGATAACGCAATGGAACAGAGTAACAATAACTGGAGAGACTTGTTTCAGTTCATTCAGTTTTATTCTTCATCTTTGCGTTCACCAGCTATAAACTCAGGCGGAAAGATCTGGTTGTTCATCCACTTCTGGACTGCAGCCCTGTTCCAGAACCCTTTTACAGATCTGACTCATTTGTGTGCAGGCTGCTGGTTCCTTGCCTTTCAGGCAGATGTACTCTGACTTTGAAGGAAGCTCCAAATTAGTCAACTCTTACAACATGCTTTTCTTGTTTTCCCTATAACAGGGCCCTGGAACCCACACGGGGATGTTCATTCAGTGAACCAGCGTGGAGTGAGTGTGAAACTGTGCATAAGAAGGTCTGGCTACTAATACTACTATTGAACGCACAAGCAGAAGAGGTGTACTTTTAAACACATGTTGTGACTGGTACCATCAGTGCGGAAACTCTCCTTATTTACAGAAGAAGGGAAAAGAACAACCGATAAAACTAAAAGCAAGGAAACAACACAGCCCTTGTGCGAAAATACAGAGTGCCAGCAACAAGTCTTTAAAATCTTCATTATGATTTGACTCCGCCCACTTCTTGTACGACTGTACGTGTAGTGAAGTGGAGTGAGTACACTTAAGTCTGGGCTCTCCTTGCACCTTTGGACGCAAGCTGGACGGCTTAGTGGGAGTTCTCTCCCTTGGCCGCATTGACAACAACGAGCGGAAAAAGTCACCGAATCAAACAAGACAGTGAGGTCGACATCAGGGACAATGCTTGGTTGTGTCCCCCCAGATCTGGGTTTTTCTTTTGACGCTGTGAGGAAATCTGGGGATTTTTTTTTTTGGGGGGGGGGGGGGGGGGTGTTTTGCCGATCTGTATGCTTTAATGACGATAAACTTGCATGGTTAGGGGTAGGGTTAGCGTTAGGGTTACGGTTATGGGTAGGATTAGGGTTACGGTTAGGTTTAGCGTTAGATGTGACAATTTTGACGCCGTAGTTCCCTATAATCGCGCAGTCACATACACACCCAAACAGTCGACGGACGGTGGATGCTACTGACACGGACAATTCGCCACCGATTGGGCACCAGCCGCGCGCTATTGCCGTCATATTTGGCACACTCCCACAAGTATCAGATTGTCGCCCAGTATTTGGATGTTCTACGTCACCATTTTTACATCTAACCTTACCCATAACCCTTACCCTATCCCTAACCCACACCCTACATGCAACCGTATGTTGGTGATAGACACCATACGCAGCCCTACATGTAACCGTATGATGATAGGTAACCCTAGAGGCAACCATATGACAATGACTACGCAACCCTACACGCAACTGTAAGCAACCCTACACGCACCCAGATGATGATAGGTAAGTATGTCATTTGATTCGTGACTTTTTCCGCTCGTTGTTGTCAATGCGGCCAAGGGAGAGAACTCCCACTAAGCCGACCTAAGCCGTCCAGCTTGCTTCCAAAGGTGCAAGGAGAGCCTAAGTCTGCCTACATTTTGCTAGCCTTCAACTTCAACTTTTCCCTTTTGACGACATGATAATGCATTTCACTATCGACAATATATACAGTTACACAGTTAATAAAATCTTAAAATCAATCTAAAATGTAGACTACGTTTTTTATTTTGGTTTAATTAGCTTAGCGCTTCCCGACCCAATGTGAATGTCGGACCTTGCCACGACATAGAGTAGAGCTTCTTCACTTCCTGACAATACACAAAAACTAACCAACATAATTAGGTACTCAGCGTAATAACATTATACAAGGAAATTTTGTCCAGGAACACACACCTCTTTCTTTAACTGTGCAAGCGCAAAGGGCAAGATTAGAAGAGTAACAAACAGCACAAAACACTGGTGGACTGCCATAGCGACGTTCAACTCTCGGTTGGACCGGAAATGAGAGGAGGTTTTCTGCCGGCGACTGTATTCTATTAAACATCGTGTTATTAACTTTTCGCCGAGTTTCATTGTTATATTTTGTAGTCTGTCTGTTATTGTCATCATCGACAAACGGGTCACCCATTAGCTCGCCGGTAGACGGCGTCGACAGTCTTTAAGTATATCTCTATTTATCGCATCAACACTGCAATAGTCATTTTCAGGCTAACTGGTGGTGAGCAATCTTAAGCCATGTTATATGGTGTACATAAAACCTATTTCTCAGCCATATAACCAAAAGCTTACCTCTTCGGAGGATGCTGGTTGAACGTCAAGATATCGTCATTATCAAGTGGCTTGCCGGCTGGCGTTTGTCATCCTGCTGTTCCACGTCTTGCAAAGCGGGTCATGGGTGTCATCTCAGAATGTTTTATAGACAAAGGACGCTCGTATTGTAGTATGCACATGACAGTACGTATACTATATACAGCGAAATTTGCCTGGCAATTTTTCTTCTTCTGTTCGCTTGAAATAAACCTATATCTGCAATGCTGTCTTTAGTATGAACTTCACTGTCTGATGTAACTTAGCGGCCCGTCAAGTGTCTCTCTCTTGGCCAGAAGCTTTGCCTGGAAATGTTGTATTTGTGACAGTCTTGGAGTATGTGATCTGTTGTCTCAGGTGCCAGTCCACACATGTACATGGCTGATTCACCGCTCTTAAATTGTGTGTAAATGTTACTGCGAAAGTGACTGTGCCCTGTTCTAAGGTGAAGACTAATCACTTGCTCTAGTGACTCTAGTCTGTCCATAATATGGCAATCGTCGTGTACCGGTTTTGGTGGCTTTCTGTTTGATTTATATTATTCTCTTCTTTTGTTGATAAGAGACTGGTACGTCAGGTTGTTCTTTATTTGCACCTCCCTTAGCTAGTTTATCAGCTCTTTGATTTCCTGAAACTCCACAGTGGGACGATATCCACTGCATAGCTACCTTACACCGGTTGCCTAATTCAGAGAGTAGTGTACACTTACCTGGTAATTTTTCAGACTAGAGTGCCCTTTTGGGAAGGATAGAGGACTTTGGGGGCAGTGAATCCACATCACTCGTCAGAATGGCAGACTTGGGAATTAAGATCACAGCAAAAACAAAAACAAAAAACGAGACGCACACCAGACGACTTGTTAATCAACATAGAACTGGAACTATTAGCCATCGGACGTTGGGGTTCATACTGAGGGGAGGATCTGAGCACATATGGACATGTCCAGAGTGCAATGATGATAACCCAACTAACTAACTAACTAACTAACTGACTAACTGACTGACTGAGATATCGTTTTCGCCTTGGTGGTCAGAACTGTTAAAATGGAGGGAGACAGGTTTGAGAATCTTTTACGGATGTCAGCAAGATGTTCACGGAAGCGATCTGTTAGCTTCCTACCGGTTTACCTAATAAATGCCTTTTTACATCTTTTGCAGATTATGGCATAAATTAGGTTACGCGAATCGCCATTTATTGCTTTTCTAATGTAAAATAAACCCTTCGGAAACCAGCATGAAGGGGTTTGGATCACAAATGGACATGTTTTACATCTTGTACGGGAGCATTTGGAAGTACCAAAAGGAATTGCTCTCTGGACCGGAGACAGTCTGCTTCTGACAAGTATGTTCTTAATATTACGTTCTCGCCTGTAGATCACTCTAGGGTTGTCACTAAATATCTTACGGGTGTCAGGATCAGAGCGAAGAATATTGAACATGACCATGGACGATTTTAGACAGCAAAATTAATAGGGTGATATGTTAAGATAAGTTTAGGTCTGTCAGGAGCAAGTTCAGGTTTGGTGGACAAAGCCTCTCTCTGAGTGATGGCCTGTACTTTTGTTAAGAGCCTCCATGAGAATGTGTTCAAGATAAAGGCAGGCACGGAAAAAAAATCCAGAAGCTCAAGTGAGTTACTCAAGAAATCGGAGTCATTAGAACACAACCTCTGTTGTCAAAGCAGTTGAGAGAATGGTATCGAATTTTTACGAGAGAATGGGTGAGAGGACGTATAGAGAAGATAGCTATGAGAATCAGTAGGTTTATAATAGGCACAGGTGGTTAAGAAAGGAAAGTCCATGCTAACCGTGATGTTTAAGAAATTCACAGAAGTGGTGGAAATCACGGAGGTGAACAGAATAGCGGGATTAAAGATGCTGATAAAATTTCCCCATCAACAATAAAGAGATCAACAATAAAGCGGTTAAGTTCATTTTGTGTTCTGAAAATTTTGGATACAATTTCTGACTCTGTCCATTGGTTGATAGTGTTAGTATTTAAGAGATATTTGGGGGTTGCCACTGGAGCTATAGAGGTTTCTTCTTTGTGTGATGTGGATAACTGGTCGATGCAATGAAGTTGGTTTTATTGATTTTTTTTAAACATTATTCTCGTGAAGAACCACACTTCGAAGCCTTCAAGAGATTCTTTTGTGCTGACAGCATACATATAAAAACAGGAAGAATTAAAATTCAAATCAAACAGATCTGGTGTAACTGTTTACTGTCACTGCTTTCAAATGCATTATGGAACTCTCTAAAATTATATATTTAAAAACATGTACTTGCTCCCAGGTCGATCCAGCCTTAACTATGTACCAGATAAATTCCTGGGAAGTAAAGGTGGCCAGCATGATGTGGACCATTTTACCCACTGAGTGCTGATTGGTCTATAAAATTTAGGTCTAAAACTATATGCGCAATGCACCTGAAGGTGTGGGAAAGGGTCCTGTACTCAACTTTATATACATCAAAGTTCCACTGGTCTATGAAAAATAGTTTAGCATCATATATCCTGAAAAGGGTCTAGGTCGAACCCACTCCTAAATGGATACTAGGGATGTCATGGGAGGCAAAGGCAGTTGACCTGATGTTAACTACATCACCCATTTCTGTCTATTGGACTATAAAAAGATGGGTCTAGAATGGTATATCAGATGCATCAATTGTGTTAAAAAAAAGGGTACTTTATTTTTAAAATTTTAAATAATGTCCACAGATAAAACTGGCTGTCACCTAAAAATAACTATAAACGATGATGAAATTGAAAATATCACAAACTTTGAATATCTAGGCTCTGTAATAAATAGCAATGGAGACTGTTGGTCATAAATTAAAAGTAGGATGGCCATAGCAATGAAAAGATTAAACAGCCTTAAAAGTCCATAGTTACTGATGTGAGTCCTGATACCTGTAACTAAAAAAAAAAGGTAATTGTAAAATAATGTAGATTCATTCTTCTGGGATACCCATATAAACAAAAAAATACAATCATCAAACTGTTTCTAATGAAAACAGTTTATAGGTACAAATATAGAAATCTTGTATAAAGAGACGAAAGTATAATAATAAGGTTTAATAAATACATGGATTTAAAAGGTTGCATGACTGAAAATATAATGAGTAAGATAGCAGAACAGATCTTTTTATTAGCAGGATAACTTATTTCCATTAGGTTGTTTTTGTAAAATTAATTATAATTTAAATATGCATATGCAAAAATGTCAAATATAACAGCTTATCCTTTACATATGCCTTTCAAGGCGTATAAACAGGTTTGCACTCACCCAAAGCTTTATGTGACTACTTCTTTTCAATAGTAGTAATCTATGCAATGATATCCCAGTGAAACCCCTCTGGGTTATCATATGAATATAGAGAGTATTGTTTATCTTTCAATACTGCTTATCAATTACCATTTCTCAGTGTCGATTCTGGGTCCATTTTGGGGAAAAAAGAATAGACCCACCGCACACTTGAAAGTCATGTAAGACAAGATTTCCTTTAACAATGCAGAGACTAAACAGCATGAAGAACCTATAGCATAGTACAGCCAGACATGAGAAGCACACTGGACGCACGAGTAGTCTTGTCAACCGACATAGGACTGAGACTATCAACCACTGGTCACTGATGTATATGTTGAATGGGGATTCTGAGCAGCTATGGAAATATCCGGAGTATACAATACAAAACAAGACAATACAAAACTCTTTTACAGTATGAGAAATTAAAAAGACTTCAAAGTCACCCACTGCATTTTAAATTTCAAGAGAGAACAAAAAACAGACTGAAGCGTCAGAGCCCAAACCACATTGCTAGAGAACTGTACAGACAGCACCAAGAACTGCTTGAAAGAAATGTAGCTCTGTGCGAAAAACTTAGGCCAGAACCATGGACAAGCAAGCCAGAGAAGGCAAATGTAGTTCTAAAGGTACCAGGGATCACTTCAAAAGATGCCCAGATGGAGACACAACAAAGAACCATGGCTCTTGCTATGCTTGATGAGAAGTATCCAAACACCACTTGGACTCAGGTTTTCACCGACGGCTCTGCTATAGATGCAGTCAGAAAGGGGGGTTGTGGAATATACATTAAACCCCCTAGCAGTAGAGCAGAAACTCTCTCTCTCTACCAGCAGGTGACATCTGCACTAACTTCAGAGCTGAGGCAACTGCCCTCCTTTCTGCAGTCCAACATCTCATCACTCAAGAACACAGAGGGCACAAAATTGTTATACTTAGTGACTCATTGTCTGTTCTCCAAGCACTATCAAGCAAAAAACAAGACAAACTAATTGCAGATCTAAGGACCAATATTGGCTTACTCTCCAAGGAAGCAGAACTGGTCTTGCAGTGGATACCAGCCCACTGTGGTATTCAAGGAAATGAGAGAGCAGATGAGTTGGCAAAAGCTGGGAGTAATCTTCCACAACCTCATCCACCACACAGCTACAAGAAAACCAAAACAGCACTAAAGCAGTCTTTCAAGTGGGAGTGGGGAAAGCAGAATAGAGATTACAGACCAGAGAGTGACAGCATAAACAAACTCAACAGGAGAGAACAAACATCCATTTTTAGACTTCGGACTGGACACTGTGGTCTTCGAGCACACCTGTACAGGATAGGCATAAAAGAATCTGCTGCCTGTGATTGTGGAGCAGAAAGACAGACCCCTGAGCACATACTGCAGTACTGCCCTTACCTCTCCCAGCAAAGACTGTGGATCTGGCCCAGGGGATCCACATTGTGAGAGAAGCTATGGGGGACCGGTGGCGACCTTAAACGCACAATCCTATTTTCGACCCAGACGGGACTCAATGTGTAGCATGACTGATGTCGAACGCAGAAGAAGAAGAAGAATCCGGAGTGCCGTGAAGATAACCCAAATCATAACTCATAACCTGCAAGCAAGCTGAAGTAACAACTTTGAGATGATGCATCTTTCCCTCGGCAACTTCTGGATGTAAGTCATGAACTGTCACTCAGTCGTTAAAGAAGACAATCAGAGCCTTTGAACTGAAATATTACAGAAAAAATTCTAAGAATACCATGGACCCAGAAGAAGAAAAAAAAGTGTCAACTTCTTCCATGCCTTGAACATCAAAGAGAACTGGCTAGTAAACGGCAAGCATCCTCTCCCAAAAGCTGAGCTATTCTGGACAATTCAAGTACCATGATGGTATGGAAAAATGGTGATGGATGGTGAAGTTTCCAGAAAACGAGGCAGAGGGCAACCTCCATGAAGGTGGGTATAGGTCTATGAAAGTACACTCTTTTCTCATTTCTGATTTAGCCAATATACCAGGCCAACTTTTGTTACTTAAGCCCTAAAAATTTTGATATTCTAGAAAAAAACAGCACATTCACTTATTGATCAAAATTAAGTATTATATGCTTTAAATGAGGCTAAGAGGCAACAACAACTTTAATATAAACAAAAGAAAGAAGCAAGCATACACTTTTGGTCACACTATTATGAAAGAGAAGCTGGAATATCTTGTGACAACTGGAAATATTTATGGAAAGAGAAATGAAGGAAAACAGTGAGAGAAGATTCTTGACAGCCATTCATCATGTCATAGAAAAGTGTCAGCACCTGAAATAAAACATGCTGATATAGATCAGATATAGAGAAGCATGACTGCCCATGTCAGACAGAAAAGAACCGTTGATGAAACAAACTTATCACAAATATTAGAAAGAGACAGTTCCCGGGGTGGGTTCTGGGGACCAGTTGGGGTTGGAGGGGAGGGGAGTGGACATACCCATCGCTCTTTAACAAGCTTGTCATGAACGGTGGCCACTTAAGAATTTGTTGAAATTGGATGAGTTGTCCCCGTGTGGGTTCCGGGGCCTCATCATGGGGAAAACAAGAACAGACCCACTGCCCCCCCCCCCCAATAAGCAGGTCACAGAAGTCGACTAACTGGCTGCTTCCTTCAAAGTCAGAGTGCATTTGCCAGAACGGCAATGAACAACCAACTGCACACAAATAAGCCAGCAAAATGAATGTACACACAAAACTCTGGCCCTAGCACAAAACCAAATACCAAATGGACAAACAACCAGGACTTTCATTGGAGCTTACAGCAAGAGGATGAGTTGGGTCGAAAGGAGCAGATATCACAGACAAGCATGACTTTTTATGGTTGAAAGAAGAAGAAAAGGAAGGAGGAGGAGAAGAAGAAGAAGAAGTACAAAAGAAGAAGAAGAAGAAAGGGATAGACATTTATTTTTAAACACATTATGAAAAGAGAAAAACTAGACACAAAAACTTGAAAGATTTATGGAAAGAGAGAAAAATAAAGCAAACGCAGATTCTTGACAGTCTTTTTTCAAAGCATCAATAAGCTTTCAGCACACAAATGGTTACATGCTGCTGCACATACAATATCTAGAAAAGATACAATATGGATAAAAACAAGACCCATGTATCAAGGCACTTGCTAATGATTATTTCTATCCTTCTTCTTTATCACTTGCTCTTTTACCACTTCAAGTGTTGATGGAGATCATGAGTCTGGTTCTCACTCTTCTAGCCTTCTTCTTTCTTCTCCTTTTGTCATCTCACTGATACCAGGTTGTTGCCCAGTGTCACGGTTTTCTGTATTTGTTTTGCACTTCTTGGTGGCTTGGGTAATAGATTTGTTCAACTTTTTTGCAGGTTTCAACTACATCATTTATCCATTACTTTCTTGGTCTTCCTCTCACCTCCCTACCAGATGTTCTGTTGTAAAAAGTCTCATCTGCAGTTTGGTCTGGCTGCATCCTCACTAGATGGCTGAACCATTTTATTCTTTGTCTGTCAATATTATCCAGGCATGGTCTTATTATATCTTTCTTTCTAATGCTGGTTTTTGTAACCCTGTCTCTTCTTGAGTTGTTATGACCTTGCGGAGACAGCGGAGACTCTTCTAGATATCTCAATGAAACCTGTTATCTATGAGGTAACCAAGGAGACAGTTTTGTTGATTTTCTGCTGTGGTGGTTTTGTTTGTGGAATGTCATCCAGTGCATGGCAATCCAGCATCTGCCACACATGAGGCACTGCTGCATCTGTCTTGGCTACTTTGTTCTTTTCATGTCGCAACCTTTAACACACAAAAAAACAGTAAAAAGAACAAACTCACTATGTAAGACAGAAACATGATTCATGGTGCAATCTTTACAAGGACATAGTAAATTGACCTCCTTTCCCACCTTCAGGCCAATTGGGCATTTAGAGCTAAACGTATATTTTATGGACCAATTGGCATTTGGTGGGTGATGCGGTCAGCATCATGCCGGCCACCTTGCCTTCACTCCAAAGGACTTGTACCTGCTACCTCATTTAAGGCTGAGTGAACCTGGGAGCCAATGTTATTTTTGAAACAAGTCCAGCACCTTCTGGATTTCAACCTACAATCTTAAGATCTACAGGCGAGTGTCTAGCCGCTTCAACATGGTGGCTCTGACAGGTTAATAGTAAAAAGAAAAAACATACTGCATTCTTGAAAGACATGATTCATGTTGCAACCCTTATACTGAAATAGTAAAAAAAGAACCCCCCCCAAAAAACATACTGTATGCTTGAAAGACATGAATCATGTGTAATATTTACAAGTTAAATGTTGAATTAAGAATCAACATCACAGCACTCGGGACACCCACATAAGCGCTCATGGGCTATCCGTCACCGATCTCTCCCCTGCCTATATGCAAGAACATCAACGGCAAATGAATGAAGTAGAAAGAACCAGTGGCGAGGCAGGATCAGTTTGCATGTATGAGTGTTAACAGGTAAAGATTTTATGTGAGAGGGTACCAAATGATATTTTTCTTTTCGTCGCTTTGATGTTGAGAGTATGCATGGGCAAGTAGCATTGTAGTACTAGTAACTGGTAGCTTTCACATATCACAGTTTCTGCATGAGTGGCATAAGCATGCAGCTATTTTCCTGATATAAATCCAATGGCAAATTTTAATAAATAGGGAAATAATGCATTTTTCTTTTGCAGTAGAAAGTAAGCGATGATTACATCCTATAGATGCCTGTCTGACCACTTTAAAGAACAAAACATATTGTAAGCCTGAGGCATGATTCATGGTGCAGAATTAACAAAAATGTTTTGTAGGATATTTGCTACTTATATTGTGTAGACTAGACTACTCAAATGTCATGTTGGGACTTCTTCTTCTTTTGTCAAAATCTGCTTGTGCCGCTAGGCGTCGCAGTCTATCAGATGATTGGCAACCGAGCCAGGGCGCGCTCAGTCGCTTCATATGCCGTGATGTTATGAAGTCTCAAGTTGGCCGTGACTCCTTCAATCCATCTTATTCTTGGTCTTCCCCTGCCTCTTGGTATTTCGATTTTCATGTTGTATGCTCTTGATGCTGGCATCATTGGTTCCATTCTCATTAGGTGACCAAACCATTTCATTCTTTGCTTCTCAATGTTGGGACTAGATTACTTAAAATGATAGTGGGACTAGACTACTCAAACATCATGTTGGGACTAGATTACTCAAAATGATAGTGGGACTAGATTACTCAAACATCATGTTGGGACTAGATTACTTAAAATGATAGTGGGACTAGACTACTCAAACATCATGTTGGGACTAGATTACTCAAAATGATAGTGGGACTAGACTACTCAAACATCATGTTGGGACTAGATTACTCAAAATGATAGTGGGACTAGACTACTCAAACATCATGTTGGGTCTACATTACTCAAAATGATAGTGGGACTAGACTACTCAAACATCATGTTGGGACTAGATTACTCAAACATCATGTTGGGACTAGATTACTCAAAATGATAGTGGGACTAGACTACTCAAACATTATGTTGGGACTAGATTACTCAATATGATAGTGGGACTAGACTACTCAAACATCATGTTGGGACTAGATTACTCAAACGTCCTAGTGGCCTGGAGAGAATGGTGATGAAGGGTGCAGTTTCTGGAAAAGAGGACAGAGGCACAACTTCACGAAAGTGGATGTAAGACATTGAAAATGCATTGACTATGAAAGCACACAGGGCAGGAGAATTGGCTAGGGAAAGAGAGACTTTCAGATATGCCCTGAAGAGAGCAACGTTCTGCAAAGGATCTGCTGAGTGATGATGAGACTAGATTACACAGACAGATCAGCAGAGCAAGTCACAACAAATTGTGTATATATGAAATACACAGACAAATCCTGTGCAACTTTTGTATAACAACTGGAACGTCATCATCATAAATCTCTACTTGTACAATTCAGCTGCTTGGGTAGGAACAGTTGGCAATCCAGCGCTCAGTGGGTGGCCATGGTCATTCTATGTGGATGTTATCATCATCACCATTTTCAACTGCCTTGTTGACTGGCATGGATGATCAAGCCTCTCCTCAGTCTGCAGTCTTTAGCAGCATGTATCATTTCATGAGTTGACACCCCTCCATGCCATGACAGACAGATGTTAAGCACCTTTTTTCATTATCTTCCTCTGACTTATTTTCCACAGAGCTTTCCAGTGGTCGCAACATTTTCCAGTGTCCTTCTTCTCATAACATGGCCAAACAATGATGACTGTGTCTTTCTGATGTTTGTGTCTTCAAGTCCTCACTTCTTTCAAAACATCTGGGTTGCTCTTTTTGGCTCTCCAAAGAATTCTAAGGATTCTTCTGAAAAACCAAATAAAAAATTAAACAAACAAAAGATTGTCTTTAATGCATCAGTTTGTTTTCTCCTTGGGTGCTTTCTTGTTCTCACATCAGATTTTTCTAGTGCCTATGTTGATAACTGTTGTGACATGGCATATTATTTAATCTGCAGACCGGTATGAAGGTTTCAAATATTTTACCCTTCATTCTAGAATTTCGTCCTGCCCATTATTTATTCTCAATGAAGATTGACAGGTATAGATTTCCAACACTCTTTGTTTCCTGTCCTTTCTGTACACACTTAGAGACTGGTGTTAGATCCACTTCTTGATGTTATCCTCTTAGTTTTATTGATGTCTAATTCTTGCTCACCTACTTTTAACTTTTGCCTTCAGAATGTTTTTTTTTAAAATTTTTTTTTAAAAAGTGTTACCTCTTTTCATAATACCCAAATTTTTCACATCTCTTTTTTATTTCTTTGAAAATCAATATTTTGATTTGATCTTATTGTCATCATCATCATCATCATTATGCTCTTCATCCTGCTGTGCCATTATCCATCATTTAGGGCTCACAGTCTAGTCCCCCCTTCCACTCTATCCTGTGCAATCCTCTCAATGTCATGGAAGGAATCCAGTCCAGCGCCAATGGCCTCTCTCAACCACATTCATCTCAGGGTTTCTCTTGGATGTCCTCCATTCCTTAATCAATTAGTTTGCCATTTCAAAGCAGGTTTTGTGATTCTCTGTCCATTTATCTTCATGATGTGCCCAGTATATTGCTATCTTGTTTGTTTTCATTCCAAGACCCAGTAAAACATCTGTTTTTGATTGTTTCCATCTATATATTATCAGTTTTCTCATGACTCTGAAAATATATTTTGGCCACTCCTATTCCTTTTTTTTTTTAAATTTCTGCATGAAACCTGCTTAGAACAACATAAATAGAATTTTTAGAACCTCTTTCCAGTGGCACTGCCAAATGATCTTTCTCGAAGCATGGCTTTAATCGTGTCATCATCGGTAATGCTGGCTGGTTTGGCTGTCAAGTCCACTTGTGGTGAAACACTGGGTATATTCTGTCAACAGAAGAAAACCACAATGAAAGTAAATGAGACATGTTACTTTTAAATATCTTCTCATGTAACAAATTTCTCATATTTTGAACACATAACAGATCATGGCAGCAGTAAAACAGGAATAAAAAAGAGAATAGGAATGGCTAAAATCATCTTCAATTTGATGCAATAATTGATGACAGCTAGAGAGATAAACAATCCATTAACAATTAGAATCATGAAATTTCTGTATACTCAACCCAGGTCTGCTGTTATCTAAATGTACTCCAGCTTTCCTTCTTATCATGTGTCAGAATAATGTGGGATTCTCCTAATGACATTAGCAAATTCTCTGACCTTTTTCAAGACAGTGTAATTATACTATTTTAATCTGTCCATAGTCTTCTCATCATTCGTCCGTACACCACATCTGCTGAGCACCAACAAAGGTATAGCTACAAATCAGCTCTATCCATGTGTACTAGAATGGGAAAGCCCTTAGTAGCAAGGAAACAATAAAGGAAAATAGTTCGTTAGGCGGGGACTAGAAAGAGAAATATTCTAGTCCAGACACGAGATCTTCTGTGTAAAATCTAATCAGCCAGGCAACAAATAAATAAACTACGCACACTAACCACAAGCCCTAATCTGAACCAAAACAACTGTAACTATAATTATCACATTCAACATCTGTTTATTTCACTGAACATAAGCTAAGTTCTTCATAAATAATAATGCATTAAAATTCACGTGTTCAAAAATACCCTACAACAGACCAAACCTATCTCTGCCTATACACCTCAACTCGTGTTGCACTAAACCATTGAACGCAATGGGAAAATCAGAACTACATGTTACTCATCCGAACACCAGAGGCTCAAGGGAACGAATTGACCACTCCCGTCTTTTTTATCACTTCCTGACCCCAAGTTTGCCAGGTTTTTTTGAGCTCGCTTTACTAAGCCTAATCAAATTTATTTAACTGTCGTCCAGTTCCTGTTACACATGATTCATTTTTATACAAACTGACAGCTAACTGTGAACAAATACCTGATCCTTGTCATCTCTGACGGAATCCTGGTGTATGATGTCATGAGTGAATTCTCGCTCTACCAGCAAGGGATGAGAAGGGAGACTCAGTGGGTGAACTAGGACATCATAAGGCACCATTGGGTGTTGGAATGTTGTTGGGTTGTGAACATCCCATTGTTCTAGCTGACCAAGAGTTCCTGCATTCACAAAGAAGATTTTATCTAAGGCCACTGTTCTGTCATTATTGTTTATATAAATTGAATGTATTAATTACATCCACATATCCAGGGCTTTTCCCCGGGGCAGTACACAGTCTTGTCCCCCTGGTAGTATACAGTCTTTCCCCCCTGGCAGTATACAGCCTTTTCCCGCTGGCAGTATAGTCTTGTCCCCCTGGCAGTATATATATTCACAATTTGATAAACTTATTTGCTGAGAAAGAAAGAAAATGAGGCCACTGTACCTTAAGTTATGGCTGTTGTATATGCATATATGCCTTGCCTACAACTGACTAGGGTTAAGGTAACTGCTTTTATTTTATATCAGTCAAAATGAGTGTTAGCAAAAAGTCTGGGGATGAACGATTCATAGTTCACCCCACTGTCAAAAGCAGTTGTCTTTTTCCCCTGGTAGTATACAGTCTTTTTTCCCTGGCTGTATACAGTCTTTTTTCCCTGGCAGTATACAGTCTTTTCCCCCTGGCAGTATAGTCTTGTCCCCCTGGCAGTATAGTCTTGTCCCCCTGGCAATATAGTCTTTTCCCCCTGGCAGTATACAGTCTTTTTCCCCTGGCAGTATACAGTCTTTTTCCCGCTGGCAATATAGTCTTGTCCCCCTGGCAGTATACAGTTTTTTTCCCCTGGCAGTATACAGTCTTTTCCCCCTGGCAGTATACAGTCTTTTCCCCCTGGCAGTATACAGTCTTTTCCCCCTGGCAGAATACAGTCTTTTTCTTCTGGCAGTATACAGTTGTATGCAGTACTGGGATTTCTTTTTGTAGGCAATAGACACTTTGTGGTGAGAACTCACACCTTGTTGGTTTTTTAAGACCTTTGGTTGTGAGCAGTAACATCTTTTTCCAGAAAAACAAAGCCCTGTACACAGCTTTATCATGTGACTAAGTGGTCACTTTGACGTTTATTCAAATAAAGTGAATAATGCAGCTCTACTGTAAACAGGTGGGGAAAAACTGTGTCCAAAACAAAACAAAATCAGATAAGTAGTAAAGATTAACTCTTTGAGTCCCAAGGAATGCATCATATGTTCATAGGTTCCTACCTAGAAGCCTACTTTCTTTACTACCCTCTGGGCCTGTGATGCTAAACCCCCTGGGACTCAAAGAGTTAAGAAATGTTTACAAGTTTTCACTTACCAACATAATGGCCTTGTGTTGTCCACAGTCTGACAGTACAATCGTTGGAAGCACTGATAATGATATTACTAGACTCCACCAAATCCAAGCTGCAAATACTTTCCACATGTCCTCTCCATCTGTACAACACTGGTAATACAATACAAAATATATTCACAATTTGATAAATTTATTTCCTGAGAAAAAAAGGGGATGAGGCCACTTACCTTAAGTTATGGCTATTATATATACCTTTAAAGTAATATATGATTAGGGTAAGGGTAATTATTTTATTTTTATCAGTCAAAATGAGTGTTAGCAAAAAGTCTGGGAATGAACGGTTCATAGTTCAACCCACAGTCAAAAGCAGTTGTCTCACTTAATTTTAAGGCAGCTGATACTATGCTTATGTAGCAGAGTGGTGTTTTTTATTTTTTTAATTTTCAGCTTGCTAGCAAGCATTTACATTTTGATATACATTGTGGGTTTCTTTACTATATTATTGTTGTTTTCATGCAGGGATATTTAGTTCTGCTGTTATGCAGTGTTGCATGCTATTAAGGTTGTTGTTGTCCAGGTTTTTGCCAAACTCATTGCCATTTTCTTATTTGCAATGAAACATCACTGGATGTTAGCAAGAAGCAAACATCCTATGTTGGTAACTCTTATTATTATCATTGTAACCGTTATCGATCGATGAATCAATCAAAAATAGTCAAGGAAAGGTACTTACTAACACTAAAGATCAAATGGACAGATGGGTTGAATATTTTGAAATGCTTCTAAATAGACCAGGCCCAGAGGTTCCCCCAGATATCCAGCCTTTAGAAATGGAACTGGATATCAACTGTGAGATACCATCCAAAGAGGAAATTAGAAAAGCTATAAATCTTCTTAAGGAAGGAAAGGCGTCAGGCCCAGATGGTATCCCAGCTGAAGCCATCAGGACCAACATAAACACATCAACAGAATTGCTACATAGATTATTCAGTAAAGTCTGGGAGACCGAAGAAATACCAGCAGACTGGAGAGAAGGATATCTTGTGAAACTGCCCAAAAAAGGTGATCTACAGGAGTGTGAAAACTATAGAGGAATTATGTTGTTGTCAGTTCCTGGAAAAATATTAAGTAGAATTATTTTGGAAAGATTAAAAGATGCTATTGATAAAACGCTAAGAGATGAGCAGGCAGGTTTTTTGGTCATACAGATCCTGTACTGACCAGATAGCCACATTACGTATTATAATAGAGCAAAGCATTGAACTGAACTCACCACTTTACATTGGATTTATAGACTATGAAAAAGCATTTGACAGCATAGATAGGGAATCTCTCTGGAAATTGATGGGGCACTATGGAATCCCACAGAAAATTATCAACTTAGTAAAGGCAACATATAAAGACATGAAATGTCGAGTTCTTCATGAGGGAAAGCTAACAGATGCATTTGAAATAAAAACAGGTGTGCGACAGGGATGTCTTTTGTCGCCTCTCTTATTTTTACTGGCTATAGACTGGACTATGAAAACAGTAACTGCTAACACCAAGAATGGAATTCAGTGGACCACTACAAAACAGCTTGATGATCTGGACTTCGCTGATGATATTGCTCTTCTGTCCCATTCACGGAATCAGATGCAAGATAAATTAAATATACTTAATACGAGATCACAGCAGCTTGGTCTGAAAATCCATAAAGGAAAGACAAAGATAATGAGAATAAATCAGGCAAATAGTAATGTGGTTTCCCTTAATGGCACCCCACTCCAAGACGTGGAGTCGTACACCTATTTGGGCAGTAATGTAGATAAAGATGGAGGAACTGATAGAGATATTAAAATAAGAATACAAAAGGCAAGAGGGGCTTTCATAGCACTAGGGAATTTGTGGAGTTCAAAAGAAATTAAAAGAAATACTAAACTAAAAATTTTTAATTCTAATGTCAAATCAGTACTATTGTATGGGGCGGAAACATGGAGAACAACGAAGGCAATTACTAATAAATTACAGACATTCATTAACTGGTGCATGCGCAGAATAGAGGGCATAAAATGGTATGATAGAATAACTAATGTAGAACTTTGGGAGAGAACTAAACAGGCTCCAGTGGATCAGGAGGTGAGGAAAAGACGCTGGCGTTGGATAGGGCACACACTGAGAAAACAGGAGAACAGCATAACTAGAATGTCTTTGCATTGGAACCCACAGGGGCATAGGAATAAAGGAAGGCCAAAAAACACATGGAGAAGAGAGCTGGAGAATGAGGTTAGACAGATTGGGAGGACATGGGGAGAGCTCCATGTAATGGCGAAGGATAGAACGACTTGGCGTGAGTTGGTTGAGGGCCTATGCTCCATTGGGGGATAGAAAGGCAGAAGAAGAAGAAGAACCGTTATCTGGTGAAGGTTATCACTGTGTTGGCAGTTTCACAGAATGTAATTTTTGAACAGAATGGTTGACTTTTCTGGTTAAAAATACAACCCCTCTAGCTTAGGCGCTGCAAATGTGTTTCATAATTCTGAAGTTCAAGGTTTGATTCCAGCTGCAGATGATATGGATGATAATTCCTTTCACGCCAGGCATTAATTTGACTAATTGGGTCCTAAGTTTTTCTTTTTCTTCTTCATTTCCTCTTATGCCATTTCAGGTATCGAGAGAAATATAAGGCTCTGGTTCTGGTTGCCTCAGTCATAGACACATCATGCTATCATAGACTTTCTTTAATTTTATCCTTCCATCTTGTTCTTGGTCTACCTCAGAATCTATGTCCCTCTCCTATTTTGATTATGTCCTATATGGGATGGCATCACAAGGCATTCTCTCCAAGTGGGCAAACCATTTTATTTGCTGTATTTGTTATATGCAGTAAGTGTTAAAGTAGCATTTGGGATAGCATAGGATAACAGTTAAATGAACAACAAAGTGTTTAGAAAGGCATATCTCAAGGAATTCTAAGGATTCTTCTGTAATCTACTAAGAAGAAACTATGTGTGTAAGCAGGACATAAATGATACAGGTGCATGGGTAGATTCATGGGAATAGGATGCCATGGACCTTGTTGCATGGAGAGGGAAAATTCAGGAAGGGCATAAGGAAAAAGGAGAAAATGACAATGATTCTGAAATCCTATGCTCACGCTGTGAATGACTTTTCTTAACACAAGCAAGTCTTGCTAGTTACACTCACCAATGCTAAAGATCAGTGTATCCCAAACTTTTCTTAGTCGCGGCACCTTTTTTCACTTACAATTTTCCACGGCGCACTAACCCAAGTAAAAGTGTGACTATTTGTACGTAAAAGGTAACACACAAAAAAAGAAACATTGTATATCTTCAAATATTTCACGACGCCCCTGTGAAGAGGTCCCGGCTCTCCATGATGCCGCGCGCACAGTTTGGGAACCACTGCTATTGGTTATGATTCTCATCCTACCATATAACACAATATAACAGTATCATTTGAAGAAAAAAAAATTCAAACAAAGGCAATTACACAAATTATGTTTTACAAGCACAAATTTAAACAGACAAATTTTACATTTTGGAGAGTGTATTTCTGGCCCAGTGAGGCAGTAGGAGCCAATGTCCCATGCATAGATGAAGCCAACACTGTCACTGGAGTACAACCTGGTGTTGTCTGTGTTGCTCAGAACATAGGTAACCATGCCACCTTTTGCTTTAGACTGTGGAAAGATGACAGATCTATTGATGTGTTCACAGCATATATAACTTTGATGCTATTAACTATGGACAAGATATATGTGTGTGTTCAGAGAAAGTCACAATGCCATCTTTCCCTTTAAACTGCATAGAAAAAAAATAAATAGAAAAAAAAAATCTACATAGGTACACCAACAGAAGCATTACAAGTTTATATTTCGGGAAAATGTCAGAATTTATGCTAAGAACAAAACATTCAGCTTCTGAAATCTGGACTTACCACAGGCCACCATTGTTGTGCACTTCTGAGGTAATTAACAATTAGTAGGAATCAACAGTCATACATTTGGGACTTGCTCAAGTCTCTCTCTGTGTTCAGTCTCTCTCATAATACATCAATTGCGACATTTTCCCAAAACCTGCCACCACAATCTCATCGAATAGCCTAGAATGTGTGACAGCTGAACACTTCACACCACTTCAGTCATTTGTACTTTTCCCCTTCTCAGAATTGTAATTTCTGTCTTTATTTATCATCTCATTATTATGTCATTTATTTATCATCTGTGTGTGTGTCAGTGTGTGAGTGCGTGCATGTGTGTTGATAGATTAGCTGCTGCCACTCCTCTTGGTGGAGAGCTACTTTATTATAAAGCATACACAGTGAAGGCTCTCTGTGATCAAAGGAACAGTGCAACAGACTAACTCAACAAGCAATGAGTAGAACATTCCGGAAGATATTTAACACTGACAGGGTAACAGATGGACTTTTAATCAGGTTGCCACTAGTACAGCTAGCATGTCAATTTTTTGTTGGCTACTGAAGGCGGGGACGGAGCATGTTTGGGAATGTCCCCAGTAAAGTGATGTCAATTTCTGATTCACTCATTCATTCATTTACACAAACTCTTCATGAAAGTAGGTGCATTTGAGTGCAGATATTCAAAAGGGGATATTTTTAATTTTGACGGATTGGACAAAATAATAGCAGAAGGCATGGTGCCAAGAAGGAGGTGCAGGGGCCGACCAACACGAAGAAGGGCACAGGATATAAGTGACTCCTTGAGTATGAAAGTACATGAGGCAGAAGAGCTGGCAAGAGACCGAATTTCTTTCAGGCAGACCATGAAAAGAGCGACGTTTTGCAAAGGACCTGCTACATGATGATGACACAGTATTATCATCTTCATCATTCTGTTGTGCCATTTAGACCTCACATAAGGTTCACAATCAATCTCTCCATTTTTTTAGGCTCTGTACATCTACCCCTGTTTTGTGTACTTTCAATCAACAGATAACCACCCATGCCATGACATCAAACAGTCCAGCATATTCTATCTTTGTATCTCTCTGCCTCTCTTCCCTCTCCACTTCCCACTGTCACAATTACTCCAGTTTTCTCCTTCTCGTCACATGTCCAAAGAATGTAGATTGTCTCCTTCAGATGTGGGCAATCAGTTCTTTTTATGAGGCAGTCTTTTTTTTTAACGACATCTTCATTACTCTTTTTATTTGTCCTTGTTGTTCTCATCATTTGTCTATAATATCACATCTCCACAGCTTCTATTACATTAACTGTTACTACTAATATTACAACAAAACAACTACTACTATTACAAGAACAACAACCAACAACTACTACTATTACAAGAACAACAACCAACAACTACTACTACACTACTACTACAAGGCAATATGTTTTAGGACGCACACAAGATACTGTTAGTTACAGACAAATACATTTTGAAAATTTTGCAAAGTGGCAAGCATCACTTCACAGAGGTCCAGGGTTATTAGCGTCCTTTGGATATTTTCTCTAGGTCATGCTGGTGTGGTGGGAGATGAGTAGGTAGATAGACTAGCCGATTCTGCACCACTTGGTGGTAAATGGATGCATGACAAGCTAGATGGTGTGAGGGCCCTTTGGGAGCGAGTGAGCAGTGCCGAGACACAAATAGATCACTAAGGTCTGAGGAGAGTGGCACTGCAAGGAGTTACCAGGGGGTCTGGCAAATGCTCAATACTCAAGGGAAAGGCGAGACAGATGTACAGTCAGACGGTTATTGGTACCATCGGAATTGGAACTTTTCGCTTGCTGCTGAAGATAGGGATGGAGCACTTATTTTAGTGTTCCAAGTGCTATGATGTCAATTCTTAATTCAGCATTCAACATTTTGGAACTGCCTTGTCTGTGAACAAAGAACACATGCTCTTAACACAAATACAACACAAATGCTGCTCACCCCTGGAAACTGAGTCAGAAGACAGCCACCCTGAAACACATTCCAGAAGTGAATATACCCTCGAGGTCCACTGGCAACTAATGTTCCTGCATCCTTTTGATATGCTCTTGTGTTTAAGAAAATCAGTTTGTCAATTCCAAGGTCACCATCCACTGTGTCAATGAAAATATAGGTCAATGTAATGTTTCACTATCAATATTGACATAATTTTCTTTCACCTTGTATCCACTATCCCCTAGTGATGGTATCTGTGTCTTAAGGAACGTGAATATGTCCGCAATGTCCTGACCCTCAGTGTTTAAGGTCAGCTGAGGGAGATTTTGGTAGGAGGCCACTTGTACAGATTTTGGCTGACTGACTGACTTTTTACCCCACCAGGACATCACACAAGCGATAAACACCCAATGACACAAGTGCCACCATGCGGGTAAGGATCACCGTGGAGAGGTCCCAGAAACCGCGTTCAGCCTTTAGGCCATATTTATGGCCAGGCTATATTGCGGCCCCTGGCAAAAGCCAGAGTAGGGCTTCAAATAACGAAAAATTTCATCCTTAAAAGGACCGGAAGTATTATCTAAATTTTAGCAGCAATATGACTTTTGTATCAGATGGACAGCAATGGCATATTACTGGACACATAATTACCTAGTGCTGGTAAGCTGAAAAAGAAGAGAACTTCCTAGTAAAATCACAAACTAGACATCACATCTTTAACCACACATTGGGGACTGAGTGGTCTCAAGGTATGGCGTCCACCTCAAGTGCAGAAGGTCCCAGGTTTAGCCCTGGTGAAGGCTAGGACTTTTTCACGTGGACTTCTAGTAATGTCCCCTGGTCTCCGGATAGTAAGATTAGATGCCAGTGTATACATAAAAAAATCCCTTGGCAGTTGGAGATTGAAAAGAGTAGCCTGCCTGGGAAAAATTTTGAGTTTAAGATCTACCAAAGTATTTCAGGATCCTCATCAGTGCTACGGAGTTCATGCACTGCACTGAGATTCTTTGGACTCAGGCTTGAGTTAGAAGTAGAACGGAGCACTTATGGGTTTCTACCCTTGTGCCATGATGTTGATATGTACTATAAACCTATAAACCCTCATAAGACTTGAGGTTACATTGGCTGGTGTGGCCGTTACGGGTGCCCTAGTTATAACTTCCCTGGAGGCTGAATGAGATATCTGAGCCTTGATTTGCCACAAGCTATGCTACCCTGTTGATTTGCCACCAGCTATGCTACCCTGTTGATCTGTCACCAGCTATGCTACCCTGTTGATTTGCCACCAACTATGCTACCCTGTTGATCTGTCACCAGCTATGCTACCCTGTTGATCTGTCACCAGCTATGCTACCCTGTTGATCTGTCACCAGCTATGCTACCTTGTTCACCAGCTATGCTACCCTGTTGATCTGCCACCAGCTATGCTACCCTGTTGATCTGTCACCAGCTATGCTACCCTGTTGATTTGCCACCAACTATGCTACCCTGTTGATCTGTCACCAGCTATGCTACCCTGTTGATCTGTCACCAGCTATGCTACCCTGTTGATCTGTCACCAGCTATGCTACCTTGTTCACCAGCTATGCTACCCTGTTGATCTGCCACCAGCTATGCTACCCTATTGACCTGTCACCAGCTATGCTACCCTGTTGATTTGCCACCAACTATGCTACCTTGTTGATCTGTCACCAGCTATGCTACCTTGTTGATTTGCCACCAGCTATGCTACCCTGTTGATCTGTCACCAGCTATGCTACCCTGTTGATCTTCCACCAGCTATGCTACCTTGCTGATTTGCCACCAGCTATGCTACCCTGTTGATCTTCCACCAGCTATGCTACCTTGCTGATTTGCCACCAGCTATGCTACCTTGTTGATCTGTCACCAGCTATGCTACCCTGTTGATTTGCCACCAGCTATGCTACCTTGTTCACCAGCTATGCTACCCTGTTGATCTTTCACCAGCTATGCTACCTTGTTGATCTGTCACCAGCTATGCTACCCTGTTGATCTGTCACCAGCTATGCTACCCTGTTGATCTGTCACCAGCTATGCTACCTTGTTCACCAGCTATGCTACCCTGTTGATTTGCCACCAGCTATGCTACCCTGTTGATCTGTCACCAGCTATGCTACCCTGTTGATCTTCCACCAGCTATGCTACTCTGTTGATTTGCCACCAGCTTTGTTACCTTGTTGATCTGCCACCAGCTATGCTACCCTGTTGATCTGTCAGCAGCTATGCTACCCTGTTGATTTGCCACCAGCTATGCTACCCTGTTGATTTGCCACCAGCTATGCTACCCTGTTGATCTGCCACCAGCTATGCTACCCTGTTGATCTGTTACCAGCTATGCTACCCTGTTGATCTGCCACCAGCTATGCTACCCTGTTGATTTGCCACCAGCTATGCTACCCTGTTGATTTGCCACCAGCTATGCTACCCTGTTGATCTTCCACCAGCTATGCTACCCTGTTGATCTTTCACCAGCTATGCTACCCTGTTGATCTTCCACCAGCTATGCTACCCTGTTGATCTGTTACCAGCTATGCTACCCTGTTGATCTGCCACCAGCTATGCTACCCTGTTGATCTGTCACCAGCTATGCTACCCTGTTGATCTGTTACCAGCTATGCTACCCTGTTGATTTGCCACCAGCTATGCTACCCTGTTAATTTGCCACCAGCTATGCTACCTTGTTCACCAGCTATGCTACCCTGTTGATCTGTTACCAGCTATGCTACCCTGTTGATCTGCCACCCGCTATGATGCTATTAACTGATTTTCTAAAGTATAATTCAAAACAAGTTAAAAATAATTTTTTTAACTAAAATTAATAAATATTTAAAACACCATGTATATTCTTTCCCTCACTAATTTGTTGGCTTAATAAGTTAAAAGAGTATTACCCCCTGAGCAAAGAAAGGAATAATAACACTTCACCATACATAATATATCATACAAAGTGACTGAGAATAGGGTTGTTCCTGGGACTGGTTACCCCAGTGGTTCTAATTTTGTGGTCCACAGACCAAGATACACATTTAAGGGTTCTGTTCAACGAAGACAGGCTAGAAAGACCCATATAACAGGTGCTTTACCTACAGACACTGTTCCCTGTCCCTATCCCCCCCCCCCCCCCCCTTGATCCTTCTGGGCCCGTTTTGGGGTTAAAAGCCATCTCCGAACTCACAGATAATCAACTGCAGTTTCATGACAGATAAAAGAAAGAGTGGTCATCATCTCTTGTGATGGACGAACAAAAAAAAAAACAATATAATTCTTTTAAAAAAACCCCCAAAAAACTCAGCTTTAGAGTGCAATTTATTTTTGTGATTCTGCTATTTGAATATTATTATATAACAAGTTCTTCAGTATAACTATAAAAAGTATGAGGTATATGGCAGACCTCTGAAAATAAGGCATGTCTGCAGGTCTTAGCTAACTGAGACCTCTGGGCTACCCCATCATTTTAAAAACAGGAAGATCAAAGCAGAAGATGTTATGTGTTCTGACACTGAGGCACAAGATGTTAGATAGTCTGACACTGAGGCACAAGATGTTATGTGTTCTGACACTGAGGCACAAGATGTTAGATAGTCTGACACTGAGGCACAAGATGTTATGTGTTCTGACACTGAGGCACAAGATGTTAGATAGTCTGACACTGAGGCACCAGATGTTAGATAGTCTGACACTGAGGCACAAGATGTTAGATAGTCTGACACTGAGGCACATGATGTTAGATAGTCTGACACTGAGGCACCAGATGTTAGATAGTCTGACACTGAGGCACAAGATGTTAGATAGTCTGACACTAAGGCACAAGATGTTAGATAGTCTGACACTGAGGCACAAGATGTTAGATAGTCTGACACTGAGGCACCAGATGTTAGATAGTCTGACACTGAGGCACAAGATGTTATGTGTTCTGACACTGAGGCACAAGATGTTAGATAGTCTGACACTGAGGCACAAGATGTTATGTGTTCTGACACTGAGGCACAAGATGTTATGTGTTCTGACACTGAGGCACAAGATGTTAGATAGTCTGACACTGAGGCACAAGATGTTAGATAGTCTGACACTGAGGCACAAGATGTTATGTGTTCTGACACTGAGGCACAAGATGTTATGTGTTCTGACACTGAGGCACAAGATGTTAGAAAGTCTGACACTGAGGCACAAGATGTTAGATAGTCTGACAATGAGGCACAAGATGTTATGTGTTCTGACACTGAGGCACAAGATGTTAGATAGTCTGACACTGAGGCACAAGATGTTATGTGTTCTGACACTGAGGCACAAGATGTTAGATAGTCTGACACTGAGGCACAAGATGTTAGATAGTCTGACACTGAGGCACCAGATGTTAGATAGTCTGACACTGAGGCACAAGATGTTAGATAGTCTGACACTGAGGCACAAGATGTTAGATAGTCTGACACTGAGGCACCAGATGTTAGATAGTCTGACACTGAGGCACCAGATGTTAGATAGTCTGACACTGAGGCACAAGATGTTAGATAGTCTGACACTGAGGCACCAGATGTTAGATAGTCTGACACTGAGGCACAAGATGTTAGATAGTCTGACACTGAGGCACAAGATGTTATGTGTTCTGACACTGAGGCACAAGATGTTATGTGTTCTGACACTGAGGCACAAGATGTTAGATAGTCTGACACTGAGGCACAAGATGTTAGATAGTCTGACACTGAGGCACAAGATGTTATGTGTTCTGACACTGAGGCACAAGATGTTATGTGTTCTGACACTGAGGCACAAGATGTTAGAAAGTCTGACACTGAGGCACAAGATGTTAGATAGTCTGACAATGAGGCACAAGATGTTATGTGTTCTGACACTGAGGCACAAGATGTTAGATAGTCTGACACTGAGGCACAAGATGTTATGTGTTCTGACACTGAGGCACAAGATGTTAGATAGTCTGACACTGAGGCACAAGATGTTATGTGTTCTGACACTGAGGCACAAGATGTTATGTGTTCTGACACTGAGGCACAAGATGTTAGATAGTCTGACACTGAGGCACAAGATGTTAGATAGTCTGACACTGAGGCACAAGATGTTAGATAGTCTGACAATGAGGCACAAGATGTTATGTGTTCTGACACTGAGGCACAAGATGTTAGATAGTCTGACACTGAGGCACAAGATGTTATGTGTTCTGACACTGAGGCACAAGATGTTAGATAGTCTGACACTGAGGCACAAGATGTTATGTGTTCTGACACTGAGGCACAAGATGTTATGTGTTCTGACACTGAGGCACAAGATGTTAGATAGTCTGACACTGAGGCACAAGATGTTAGATAGTCTGACACTGAGGCACAAGATGTTATGTGTTCTGACACTGAGGCACAAGATGTTATGTGTTCTGACACTGAGGCACAAGATGTTAGAAAGTCTGACACTGAGGCACAAGATGTTAGATAGTCTGACAATGAGGCACAAGATGTTATGTGTTCTGACACTGAGGCACAAGATGTTAGATAGTCTGACACTGAGGCACAAGATGTTATGTGTTCTGACACTGAGGCACAAGATGTTAGATAGTCTGACACTGAGGCACAAGATGTTAGATAGTCTGACACTGAGGCACAAGATGTTAGATAGTCTGACACTGAGGCACCAGATGTTAGATAGTCTGACACTGAGGCACAAGATGTTAGATAGTCTGACACTGAGGCACAAGATGTTATGTGTTCTGACACTGAGGAACAAGATGTTATGTGTTCTGACACTGAGGCACAAGATGTTAGATAGTCTGACACTGAGGCACAAGATGTTAGATAGTCTGACACTGAGGCACAAGATGTTATGTGTTCTGACACTGAGGCACAAGATGTTATGTGTTCTGACACTGAGGCACAAGATGTTAGAAAGTCTGACACTGAGGCACAAGATGTTAGATAGTCTGACAATGAGGCACAAGATGTTATGTGTTCTGACACTGAGGCACAAGATGTTAGATAGTCTGACACTGAGGCACAAGATGTTATGTGTTCTGACACTGAGGCACAAGATGTTAGATAGTCTGACACTGAGGCACAAGATGTTATGTGTTCTGACACTGAGGCACAAGATGTTATGTGTTCTGACACTGAGGCACAAGATGTTAGATAGTCTGACACTGAGGCACAAGATGTTAGATAGTCTGACACTGAGGCACAAGATGTTATGTGTTCTGACACTGAGGCACAAGATGTTAGATAGTCTGACACTGAGGCACAAGATGTTATGTGTTCTGACACTGAGGCACAAGATGTTAGATAGTCTGACACTGAGGCACCAGATGTTAGATAGTCTGACACTGAGGCACAAGATGTTAGATAGTCTGACACTGAGGCACAAGATGTTATGTGTTCTGACACTGAGGCACAAGATGTTATGTGTTCTGACACTGAGGCACAAGATGTTAGAAAGTCTGACACTGAGGCACAAGATGTTAGATAGTCTGACAATGAGGCACAAGATGTTATGTGTTCTGACACTGAGGCACAAGATGTTAGATAGTCTGACACTGAGGCACAAGATGTTATGTGTTCTGACACTGAGGCACAAGATGTTAGATAGTCTGACACTGAGGCACAAGATGTTATGTGTTCTGACACTGAGGCACAAGATGTTATGTGTTCTGACACTGAGGCACAAGATGTTAGATAGTCTGACACTGAGGCACAAGATGTTAGATAGTCTGACACTGAGGCACAAGATGTTATGTGTTCTGACACTGAGGCACAAGATGTTAGATAGTCTGACACTGAGGCACAAGATGTTATGTGTTCTGACACTGAGGCACAAGATGTTAGATAGTCTGACACTGAGGCACCAGATGTTAGATAGTCTGACACTGAGGCACAAGATGTTAGATAGTCTGACACTGAGGCACAAGATGTTAGATAGTCTGACACTGAGGCACCAGATGTTAGATAGTCTGACACTGAGGCACCAGATGTTAGATAGTCTGACACTGAGGCACCAGATGTTAGATAGTCTGACACTGAGGCACCAGATGTTAGATAGTCTGACACTGAGGCACAAGATGTTAGATAGTCTGACACTGAGGCACAAGATGTTAGATAGTCTGACACTGAGGCACCAGATGTTAGATAGTCTGACACTGAGGCACAAGATGTTAGATAGTCTGACACTGAGGCACCAGATGTTAGATAGTCTGACACTGAGGCACAAGATGTTAGATAGTCTGACACTGAGGCACAAGATGTTAGATAGTCTGACACTGAGGCACAAGATGTTATGTGTTCTGACACTGAGGCACAAGATGTTAGATAGTCTGACACTGAGGCACAAGATGTTATGTGTTCTGACACTGAGGCACAAGATGTTAGATAGTCTGACACTGAGGCACAAGATGTTATGTGTTCTGACACTGAGGCACAAGATGTTATGTGTTCTGACACTGAGGCACAAGATGTTAGATAGTCTGACACTGAGGCACCAGATGTTAGATAGTCTGACACTGAGGCACAAGATGTTAGATAGTCTGACACTGAGGCACCAGATGTTAGATAGTCTGACACTGAGGCACAAGATGTTATGTGTTCTGACACTGAGGCACAAGATGTTAGATAGTCTGACACTGAGGCACAAGATGTTAGATAGTCTGACACTGAGGCACAAGATGTTAGATAGTCTGACACTGAGGCACAAGATGTTATGTGTTCTGACACTGAGGCACAAGATGTTAGATAGTCTGACACTGAGGCACAAGATGTTATGTGTTCTGACACTGAGGCACAAGATGTTAGATAGTCTGACACTGAGGCACAAGATGTTATGTGTTCTGACACTGAGGCACAAGATGTTATGTGTTCTGACACTGAGGCACAAGATGTTAGATAGTCTGACACTGAGGCACCAGATGTTAGATAGTCTGACACTGAGGCACCAGATGTTAGATAGTCTGACACTGAGGCACAAGATGTTAGATAGTCTGACACTGAGGCACAAGATGTTATGTGTTCTGACACTGAGGCACCAGATGTTAGATAGTCTGACAATGAGGCACAAGATGTTATGTGTTCTGACACTGAGGCACAAGATGTTAGATAGTCTGACACTGAGGCACAAGATGTTATGTGTTCTGACACTGAGGCACAAGATGTTAGATAGTCTGACACTGAGGCACAAGATGTTAGATAGTCTGACACTGAGGCACCAGATGTTAGATAGTCTGACACTGAGGCACCAGATGTTAGATAGTCTGACACTGAGGCACAAGATGTTAGATAGTCTGACACTGAGGCACCAGATGTTAGATAGTCTGGCACTGAGGCACAAGATGTTAGATAGTCTGACACTGAGGCACCAGATGTTAGATAGTCTGACACTGAGGCACCAGATGTTAGATAGTCTGACACTGAGGCACAAGATGTTAGATAGTCTGACACTGAGGCACCAGATGTTAGATAGTCTGACACTGAGGCACCAGATGTTAGATAGTCTGACACTGAGGCACAAGATGTTAGATAGTCTGACACTGAGGCACAAGAAGTTAGATAGTCTGACACTGAGGCACAAGATGTTAGATAGTCTGACACTGAGGCACCAGATGTTAGATAGTCTGACACTGAGGCACCAAATGTTAGATAGTCTGACACTGAGGCACCAGATGTTAGATAGTCTGACACTGAGGCACAAGATGTTAGATAGTCTGACACTGAGGCACAAGATGTTAGATAGTCTGACAATGAGGCACAAGATGTTAGATAGTCTGACACTGAGGCACCAGATATTAGATAGTCTGACACTGAGGCACAAGATGTTAGATAGTCTGACACTGAGGCACCAGATGTTAGATAGTCTGACACTGAGGCACCAGATGTTAGATAGTCTGACACTGAGGCACAAGATGTTAGATAGTCTGACACTGAGGCACCAGATGTTAGATAGTCTGACACTGAGGCACCAGATGTTAGATAGTCTGACACTGAGGCACCAGATGTTAGATAGTCTGACACTGAGGCACAAGATGTTAGATAGTCTGACACTGAGGCACAAGATGTTAGATAGTCTGACAATGGGGCAAAATTTTGAGTGCAAGAATATCTAGCTCATGGTAATACATGTCTCGTTTAGCTCTTTCAATACCAAGCAATTTACCAAACATTCTTTGATTATAAGAAGGATAAGAAACAATAGCCATATTTGTTCATGTATCAATCTTTAAAAAATGGACAGTTCTTGAATCAAAGGCACAATTTATATATTTTTTTTCAAATCTTTAATCAAAGCACAATAAACATTTTTTAAAGTTTTTGAATAAAAGCATAATAAACATTTTTTTTCTTTAGTTCTTGAATCAAAGGCACAGTTAATATTTGTCCAATTCATGAATTAAAAGGCACAACTTACATGACTCATCTCTGTAACCTGGAGGAGCAGGAGGGTTGAGGTGACAGAAGATATGCCCCGAAACTAAGTTCCACACAATCACCTCTCCATCATAACTGGCAGTGGCCAGCAGATTGGGCAAGCACTGAGCCACAGCAAGCACATCCTCTTTGTGTCCATCATGCTGAAGATCATCATTGAGAAATAAATACATCACACAACCAGATAGAACCAGTCGTGCATATAAAATATCTATAAAACAGTCACCCACAACACTCAGAAGATCTGTACACATACAGATTTATAAACTAAAAGTGTATACGATTAAAGAAGATCTGTACACATACAGATTTATAAACTAAAAGTGTATACGATTAAAGAAGATCTGTACACATACAGATTTATAAACTAAAAGTGTATACGATTAAAGAAGATCTGTACACATACAGATTTATAAACTAAAAGTGTATACGATTAAAGAAGATCTGTACACATACAGATTTATAAACTAAAAGTGTATACGATTAAAGAAGATTTTTAAACAAAGACACAAGCAACAGATTGCACAATTTATTGCCTGGAATAATTTAGGGTGTATCTCATCATGTACGCACTACCAGAGTATAATTAAATAAAATGAAGCAAATGCAAATATCTCAGAAACGACTGAATGGTACAAAGATGCTGAATGGGTGTATACTACGAGGCAGACTAAGAAGACAGGGAAAGATAATTCACAAGCAGACCTATAAACACTTGGGGTCACCAACTGGAAAGAGAAGATTAATTGCACAGATGAATAGATCCTGCATCAGTGAACCTCAAGGGCTGAAGAAGAAGAAGATTCATGACAATTCCTGTCCAGTTGATATGAGAAGCTTTCTGTGTTGGGGGTACACAGCAAAAAAATAATTGACTACCCAGTGCAACAAAGTATATCATATGATATCACAACATCTATACTGAGAATGGAGGTGGAGGTAATCATGCAGCCTTCTGCTTGCTTGAGAACCAGTTGTACACACATGTTGTGACTGTATCAGACTCACAAAGCAGTATTACAAAGGTGGATTCAGGTTTGCTCTGTGCAAAGTAACAAGCACTGCTCCAATGCTTCAGGTAGTTACCATCCTTAGGATATTTTTTTAAGGGAATGCAGGTGTGTTGAGAAAAGGACAGACAGAAAGGCTGGTTGGTTCTGCACTATTCTGTGGTTAACTGATGCATGACAAGCTATATATTATCAAGCTCCAAACATTGCAGAAAAACACATCAATCATCAGGGTCTGAAAAGAATTATGCAGCAGACAGTGACCAGGGGATTTGGCCCAAACTCAGAAGAAAGGAAAAATGGACATACAATCAGAGTGCTGCTAGTATCATCAGAACTGGAACTTGTGCTGGCTGCTGAAGATGAGGATGGAGTGCTTATAGAAATTTCCTGAGTGCTATGATATATATTTTTAACTCAACTCAATTGATATTACATTTCTTCTTCTTCGCATTCACTGGCTTTAAACTTCAGCAGAAAGTTGTGGTTGTTCGTCCACTTCTAGACTTCTAGTACTGTTCCAGAAAATGAGTGTTATGTGCACATCCATTTCACAGATCTGACTCATTTGCATGTAGACTGCTGGTTCCTTGCGTCTCAGGCAGATGTACTCAGACATCAAAGAAAGCTCCCATTTAGTCGACTTTTACGATATGCTTTTGGGCAGGCAGTGGATCTATTCTTGTTTTCCCCAATGAGGCACCAGAACCTGGAGCGGGGAGCATATTTAATTTCAAAATATGTTAACCAAAATGATACTTACAATATCATCATGCCAATATGGTGTAGGATGCTGTATGTGAAATATGTTACTATCGCTATGATTATCATAGTATATGTTGATATGTCTGTCCCAGCCAACAGAGATCACATATCTATGAAACAAAGAAAAGAAAATGCTACGTTGAAAAAAAAATTTATTTTTATAAGCATCGTCAGAAACAGGCCTCTTGAAATACACCGCCTCGTCACAGCCCTCCAGATAGACTTTTGACTGTCCGCACTTTCCTTGCCTCATGCATATAAGCAATGCCCGCTGCATACTTCCCAGAAATGCCTTAAAAATTGGCCAGTGCATCCATTTGAAATGTGTTATCATCAGAGAGAGAAGTCTAACATGCTGTGGAAGTGAGATGCCCATATGTGCTGTGAAATGGAGTTGCAGGTCTACAGAATGCTTCCTGGGGATCCTTAAAGAGAACAACCCGTAAAGAGAGGAAGGCTCAATATACAGATGTGAGGTTAAGCAGTCATGTACAGGACATGATGATTCCTTGGGTGAGCCCAACACCAGAAGACCATGTATCTGCTCTGCATTTATAGAAACCTCCTTGAATGGCAGGGAATGTTGATGCTCTACCCCTGGTAAACTAATTTGCATACAGCTGCCCTGGTTGGGGTCCTTAAGTGACAACACAAGTTAATTAGAGGATAACGATGTCACCACACATAGAAAACTATAAGTGTCCCAAGAAACTAACTGGGAAGGCAAAACCAGACAACAAATGCCTACAGAAGTCAGATGTGTCGGCTGAAAGGTGCAAATATTGCAGATATGCTGTAAACAGGCACAAGGCATATATGTCGGTTGAACCAATGATGAAGAAGAAGAAGAAATTATCAAATGACAGAGAGGACTGGAGTGTCATGATCACCAGTGGCTCAGACCAGAATGGGAAATAACAATCTTCAGTGATAATGATTGTGATATCATAACATACCTTAAGACACCAGGCTAGGCTACACTTCCTGTGTAACAATGACTTGACTTTCCGACCATGAACCAGAGGATCAGGATCTGGAGGGCTTGAGTATACCTTTAAATACGCACTGATAAGAAACACCCACTGCATCAAGCACTTTTTAATGAAAAAGGTGACAGGCTGAACAGGGGAAAATCATGGCTAGGTCAGGCAGAAGGTGTTATCAAGCAAAAATGCAGCCTAACCAACATAACCCCTGGTGCAGACTAGATACTCAGGCCTCATGCGTTTATATGTACATTTTCCTGTACTGTCACACTCAAAAGATGATGCAGGGAGCAGAATCCTGTTGTTGTCAATGCAGATGTTAACTCTCACATCAGTAAAAATTCAGACGAGGCAGATGTACTGATCTACACAGATGGATCTGTTGTATGCCAGCAAAGAAGCGCATGAGCGTTTACAGCACGCTCAGTGGGAAGAATAGTCAAAGAAGCCAATGGCGCCTTCTCCTTGACAACCAGCAGCATGACCATGGAGGCGATGGAAGTAACGCAAGCGTTGCATCGCTCAAATTCAATGAGTATGATCCGGAGAATTCAGGCAGGTTCTGTGCAAAGGCAATGGATTGAATCATTACAGAAGTCCACTGCGTGTAGAGTCACCTTTATTCTTTTCGTTCTGGGACATATGGGCGTAGAATTGAATGAAAGACCTGATAGGTTGGCTGAATTCGCTGTTACTACCGACGGTTAATTTATGGATCATGTCAATATTATTAATGCCCTCCAAGAAATGGGAAGGGTGGAGGACTTTGGGGGTAGTGAATCCACATCACTGTCCAGAATGATAGACTTGGGAGTTAAGACTGGCATAGAAAAATATGAAATGCATAACAGGCACATTAGAGGACTTGTTAATCAACATAGAACTGGTACTATTAGCCACCGAATGCTAAGGTTCATACTGTGTAGAGTATCTGAGCACCTATGGACATGTTCGGAGTGCAATAATGATGACCTAAGTAACTAACTAACCAAACAACCAGCCAACCAACCAACTAACCAACCAACAAACCAAGCAAATAACCAACTAACCAGCCACCAACTAATCAACTAATCAACCAACTAACCAACTAATCAACCAACTAATCAACCAACCAACCAAAAAAAAAACAACTAATCAACCAACTAATCAACCAAATAATCAACCAGCCAACCAACTCATCAACCAACTAATCAACCAATTAACCATCCAGCTAATCAACCAACTAATCAACCATCCAGCTAATCAATCAACTAATCAACCATCCAGCTAATCAATCAACTAATCAACCATCCAGCTAATCAATCAACTAATCAACCATCCAGCTAATCAATCAACTAATCAACCATCCAGCTAATCAATCAACTAATCAACCAACTATTCAATCAACCAACTAATAAATCAACCAACCAACTAATCAACCAACCAGCTAACTACTCAACCAACCAACTAATCAACCAACCAACTAATCAACCAACCAACTAATCAATCAACTAACCAACCAACTGGCTAACTAACTAACCAACCTACTAACTAAACAACTAACCAAGTAAACAACTAACCAACCAACCAGCTAGCCAACCAAGCAACCAACTAACTAACTGGCTAGGATTCTGATGGGGAAGAATATGTCCATAAGACTGTCAGTTTTGATATTTTTCTTAAAAATGGATTGCTAAAACAAACAGCAACAAACTAATAGCAACAAACAAACAAAACAAAAAAGTACCTGTTTTTGCTCATTTTAATGTAAGTTACATCACAGATTTCATTACCACCAATTTCTGAAAGAAAAAACAGAAATCAAAATATGAATTATCGCAGACTGTAAGCAGCATATTCATATCAATACTATGCTGGTGGTATCAAACTTTGACACTATCCTAAAAAAAAGGTGCCAGTACTCATCACAAAATATCTGTTACTAGAGACAAAAGTCTTAAAAAGTGCTGGTACTGCGTACCTTTGTGTACTGCCAGAAAAAAATCCATGGAAACTGTCATACAGTTAGTGGGAGACATTTGTGTAAATACATTGAGAAGATGAGATGTCTTAGGAGAGCAACCAGTGTGACAAGAAGAGATGAAATCAAGAATGAAGAAATTAAAAGAAGACTGAAAGCAGTCATACAATTCATCAAAGAACAAAAAATGAGATGGTTTGGCCACCTGACAAGAATGTCCAGGGATCAACTGCCGCAGGGAGCCACGCTAAAGAAATATAATGAGCACGGAGCTTGTGGAAGACCACGCAAGAGATGGAGCGAAATTATCAAGAGCAACCTCACAGAAATGAGCACCAACTTGTACAATACACAGGAAAAAGACACAAATGATCCCTACACCCCTATCCCCCCCCCCCCCCCCCCCCCCCCCCCGCCACCTACACCTCACTGGGATAAATGGTGGAAGAAGAGAAGAAGAAGAAGACATTGAGAAGCATAAGTGGTTTGGGCCTTTTGTTAGAAAGCAGCAATACACGTGAATAAACCAGGTGATACATCTAAGAAGAACTGACGCCAGAGCAAGAGGACACCAAGGAAGATGATGAATTAATAACAATAAAAGCACTGTACCATGGCACAGTGGTCAAGCCAAATGCCTCACCAAGGAGCAGCCCATGAAGGAAAACTAAAAACTAGACAGCACATGCATTTTTAAAAATAATAATTATACTAGTAATAATAATGCTATAAAAAAAAAAATCTACATGACAGTTTAATAACCCCCCCCCCCCCCCCCCCCCCCCACACACACACACACACATAAACACACACCAAAATACCCTTTTTCTTGAAAAAAAAATTGGTACCTGCATTCTTCTTAGATCTTTTCTTAAGTACACGAAGACAGTGTCCATTGTTATAGTTCCAGATTTTGAGAATGCCATCTCTACCACCAGTGATCAGCCTAGTAAATAGAACACATTATTAGTGTTTATTTAACTGTATCTTTACGTACTGTTTTTTTCATTAAACCCAATACGAATCATAACTGAGAAGACACAGACAAAAGATCACACAATTTACTGCCTAGAATATTTTGCTGTAGCTAATCAGATGCCTACTACATTTGTTTTTGCGTCTTGTGTATATCACCATTTCCACAGACTCAGATCAACTTTCTGCTACTCATTTTCCAGGTTTCTGCGCTATATAGTAGAGTTCAGTATACATAATATTTTGATTTCTGGTTAACACTAATGGTGGTAAGTTGTTTTTCAAACCACTGTAAGTTTCAGGTGAAAAATGTAGGAAAATTATTATTTATTATTGATTTATTATCGATCACCGGCTGTGAATTCCAGTGGAAGGTCTCGGTTAATCGTCCGCTTGGACTTTTGGCTTTCACCTGGACCTGATTTTTGCGTGTACAACCGTTTTTCATTTCCCTGCCTCATGGGCAGCTGTACTCCGACTTCGAAGGAAGACGTCAGGCCTATTTCTAGGTTGACTGTGGCCATTGTTTTGTGTGGGTCGAGACGTTGCCTGATTTGAGTTGTGTCCACTTTGTCTCCTTCTCCGCAGGTATTGCCCTCGGAGTACCCCTTTGGGGCAGCCCCCTGTGGAACAGTTAGCCCTTAAGGGAAGGCAGGGGCAGATCATGGGCATTCCCTGCCATCCAAGGAGGCTTACATGCATGCAGAGCCGGCACATGGCGCTCTGGTTCTGGGCTCACCCAAGGAATCGTCACGTCCTGCACATGCCTGCTTAACCTCACAACCGTATCAGGCCTCCCACTCGACAGGGGCTGCGCCCTCTGGACGTCAGCGGGGAGCAGCCCGTGGGTTTTGGACTTTTGTGACCACACAGATAGGTACATTCTTTTTTCTTCGCACGTTAGATTTCTTTGACGAGCCGTTAGCCCGACAGAATTTTACATCCTGCATCAGGCATATCGTTATCAGTTTTGTCCCAACACTCGGGCGAGTGGGGTCTTTGGGTGTGGACATTCGATCTTTTTCAGTTCAATACAAATTTTGATGGTCAGATTTTGATCCGTATGATCTAGTTTTGTCGGACAATTAGGCTTAGCCATCCGATGGATGGTTGCTGTTGTGGAGTACCTCAGCGCGGTGACGACGACACTGAGGGTTAACCGAGGATGTACAAGGATGGCCAGCCTATG